AAAATTTGTCATCTTTTCCACAGAGTACCAAAGTCTCTGGAATATATATCTCCCTTCTTAAATTGAGAAATACGCTTAAAAATTAAATATTTTTAAAAAATCTATATCTGATATTTAATTTTCAGTTTACTTCTGATTTTATTCCTCTGCAAAGCAGATTTCCTGCAGCTCATTCTTTCCTGCCAATGTGGGTTCTGCCCCTGGCCCTCTACTAGGCTGCCCCCTAGAGGTTCTCTCTGCAGCTACTACCATTCCTTTCTCCCTGAAACCCCTTTGGCTTGGGTGGTATCTCTCTTTCCTAGTGAGTGTGCTCCCACACCCCCTTCTCAGACTTTACTTTCTCAATCTCTCCCTTACCTACTGATGTTTCTCTGAATTGTCTTCCGTTCTCCTCCATTCACACTAGGAACACTTGCTTTCAGTCAAATCTAGTTTTAACTACATTTATAAACTGGCGATACTCAGCAATCTCCCCTGAGCTCCAGATCCATACATGTATCTGCCTCCTGAACATCTCCTGAAGACAATCTAAAATCAACAGTACAAAACTGTCTCCCAAACCTGCTTCTACTCCCCTATTCTCAATCTTGCTGAATAGCGTTCTTTCTACTCAGTTCTGCAGGCTGGAAACAAGAAAAGCTTGGCCTTTTCTTCTTCCATAGTCACAATTTATTTTGCTATGAATGTGTATAGCAAGTTTCTCTATAGTGAAATCACAGAAGACATTTCAGTGGCACTCACCTGGAGTGTTGCTGCTCAGCAGCAGCAGCAGCAGCAGTTTCTGTGGTAGGTGCTCCTTCGCAGCTTACCTTAAAAGTCTTTTTCAGCCAGAGTCCTCGTTAGGAAATGTAATTCAATGGATTCTACATACACTACTCACACTTCCCTCAATAATGATCAGTGACAAAACTACTATAAAAGCCTGAACAACCAGCAGATGGGAACAATACAGAAGGAACCAGTTATTTTAATCTATGTAACCAAGTGTTAATACATGAGGGACAAAGTGGTCTCATTCTAAAGCTTTTTTTTCCCTCCTAAAATATATAAAATTTACAAACATGTAAATCACTTCTGTCGATGAAAGCCTGGCTAGACCTGGGTCTTTTGTCCCCCACCTCATCTGTAACCAGCAATACACTCCTCTCTCTCCATAAACTTTTTGAGGGTACTAGACCTGCCACATGTGATAAAATAAATGTTTGTCCAAGAGTGGGCACAGAAAGTTAGTGTGTGCTTAGTAGTTTAGGATAACTTCTTACTTTAGTATATCTGCTAGTTAGTTGGAAAGTGGGCTCACTTTGGTGACAGGACTCAAGATTTTTTATTGAGGAAAAGGAATTGCGGAAAATCTGGGTCTGGCAGTGCTCTAGTTGGTAATGAACACCTGCTGTTCCTAAAGAATCACTTAGGTCATTCATTCTCATTCTATAATTTTCCAGATGAAGAAATTGAGGCCTGCAAAGCTAAGAAACTAGCCCAAGTTCACACAGCTCAAAAGTATAAGGCCAGAACAAGAGCCTTGGAAAGTGACTAGGCAGGCCAATGCTCTCCACTAGAAAACAATGCTTGCATGAAACTACTGCTTCTAAAGAGCATACAAAGTTTTTGGCCATGGAAATGTGAAGAAACACTGAGATGAGCATATTTTAGAACACTGTTTCGGTATTACTGACTGCTTAATTCTTCAGTAGAAGATGAATACCCATAGCTATTATATTAATAACTTGAGTTTAAGAGTTTCTCATTTCCCTGGAGGTCTCTTTCTTTATGAACTCTGTGTCTGTCATCCATCTTATTTAATCATTTTAAGTCTACTTTTAAAATAATCATGTTTGGCGCATATATTTTTATCATAGTATTAATTCTTTTCTACTAACCCTTAATGAACGCGGTTGAATTTGGTAAAGCACTGCAATGCCAAATCAGTACATTTGGTTAGTGGAAGCTGCCAGAGATCCTTGCAGCTAAGGTAAAATTTATAATTGCTCCTAGGAAATCCTTCACTTCATATGAGTCTAGTCTTTTTCTTTATATTCTTTCTCACTCAGAGAATCAAACGTGCAAATAATTCAACTACACAAAACTCACAGGAAGTTTATCATCAAAATCCTTCTTAATAAAATAAGAAATCTCTCATGTCCATGATATAAAAGGGATTATGAAAGGAAATCAGTAGAAAAAGAGCCACAAACAAACAACAAACAAATTAGCTGCATTATGTACATGGAAAATTTTAAGGGACAATTGAAATTACTCAAGTGGAAATCTAGCCTCTCTAAAATTCAATAGCTAATACTAGACAGTTTATCGTTTCACAAAGAATTTCTGACTATATACATTTAATTTTTTATTTTACTTGAAACATTCTGACAAGCAACAGACAAACTGAAATTACAGAACAGTCAATGAATACATTGAGGGCATATAACACATACCAGAAATGAAGGCTCTGATAAAGTACAGTTAAAGCTTAGAAATGATAGGAGTTTAGAAGGTAAAAATTGCAGAAGACAAGAGACATTAAAGCTGTCATAACTTTTCAAGAGTAAAGAAAACAAATGTGTAGAAACTAAATTAATTATAAAGTGTAATTTTTCTTCCCTAAAAAGTTTCTTACACGAATAACAATAATGATAGAGTAAATCTGTCAAAATGAAAACAATGAAAGACTTAGAAGGGCCTGCAGTTATCACATCATCTCATCCATTTTACAGATGAGGAAACTGAGGCCTAATTAGTAGCTCTGCCTGGACCAAAAGTACTTCAAGTTTTACATATTTCCAGATTACACATTTAAATTAATCACCATTAGATATATTACCATCCGCCCAGATAGTAACTAAAGGAGATCACATTATTGGGATCTAAGCTCTGAACACAGCTGTCACTTTGTAGATTTTTGCAAAAAGAACACAAAAAAGGTAAAAGACAACACTACTTCTTTAAAATACGAATGCCTCAACTGAGTTTTACAATACTATCCATTATTAGAAAATTATTCTATCCAGTAGGTAAACTGTAATCACAAACTTTAAAAAAAGTGCTAACATATTTATAAGAAATTAGAAGTTTTTATAGCCCTTAAGGATCTGCGCCATTTAAAAATGGAATGATTTGTGCACACAAACAAAACACTCTTACAGTATGTTCCTATTCCTAAAGCTGCCTTTAATACATATATAATCTTAATACTCTGATATGACCTTTTAATATTTTCTAGTTATAGTTTTATAATTTGGGGGGAATACACCAAAATATTAGTTTGAGAGGCCAAAATTCACCAGTGCCTCCTATTGTCTTTCACTCCTTAACACAACCACATCAGTTGCTTTTTTTACTACACATCAAATTATGACATAAAATCAATTTAGTAACATGTAATGAGTGTCTGTTATATGCAAGGCATTTAAATTGTTTGGCTGGCCATAATCAGTCAAATTTAAGATCTGTTATTTCAATTCCAAATAATGTGGTAATACATTATTCCAGAACTTTTTGGAACCTGGTGGCCTGTTTTCTAAAAGTTGTTTTGACTCCACTGGCGTTTTGGACCTTGGCTCTTTCCCCTTTCCCTGTGTGTTAGTTATCGACTTTTTTTGATATGTTTTATGTTTGCCATATTTCACAGATGCTTTTATTTTGCTCACTTTTTTGTACCCTTCTCCTTCAACCTGCCTTTCATTCTCTTCTTCACCTGTCTCCTGGTAGTTCCCCTCCTCTTCCTCCTCCTCTTCTCTGTTCCTCCTGTTTTCTTCTTGTTCCCCCTCCTTTTCCCTTTCTTCCCCTTCCTCTTCTCCTTCCTCTTCCTCTCCTTCCCCCTCTCCTTCCTCCCCTTCTTCCTCCTCTCCTTCTTCCTCCCCCTCTCCTTCCTCTTCTTCCCCTTCTCCTTCTTCCCCTCCTTCTCTTTCCTCCTCCTCCCCCTCCACTTCCCCTTCTCCTTCCTCCCCTTCCTCCTCTTCCCCCTCTGCTTCCCCTTCTTCTTCCTCACCTTCTCCTTCTCCTTCCTCCCCTTCCTCCTCCCCTTCTCCTTCCTCCCCTTCTCCTTCCTCCCCTTCCTCCTCCCCTTCTCCTTCCTTCCATTCCTCCTCCCCTTCTCCTTCCTCCCCTTCCTCACCTTCCCCTTCTCCTTCCTCCCCTTCCTCACCTTCCCCTTCTCCTTCCTCCCCTTCCTCATTTTCCCCTTCTCCTTCCTCCCCTTCATTCTCCCCTTCCTCCTCACCTTCCCCTTCTCCTTCCTCCCCTTCATTCTCCCCTTTCCCTTCTTCCTCCCCTTCCTCCTCACCTTCCCCTTCTCCTTCCTCCCCTTCCTCCTCTCCTTCCTTCCCTTCATCCTCCCCTTCCCCTTCTCTTTCCTCCTCTTCCTCCTCCCCTTCTCCCTCCCCTTCCTCCTCTCCCCCTTCTTCCTGTTCCCCCTCTCCTTCCCCCTCCTCTACTTTCCCTCCCTCCTCTTTTTCCTCCCTTCCCCCCTCTGTTTCCTCCTCTTCCCCCTCTCCTTGGTCTCCTTCCTCCTTTCCTTTCTCCTCCTTCCCCCCTCTTTCCTCCTTTCCCCTTTCTCCTTCCTCCTCCTCTCCTTCTTCCTTTTCACCTTCTCCCTCTACTTCTTCCCCTTCTCCTTCCTCTTTTCCTTCTGCTGCCTCCTCCTCTTCTTCTTCTTCCTCTTCTCTGTCTCCCTCTTCTTCTTCTCCTTCTTCATGCTCCTCCTCCCCTTCTCCCTCTTCCATCTCTTGGTTTCTTTCCTCCTGATGGCCTTGCTCCCTTTCCTTTTGCTCCTGCTCCTCCCCATCCCTCTTTTCCCATTCCTCCTTGTCTGTTAGGTCCTTCTCTCCCTCTCCTGGCTTCTCTATTTCTCCCCTACCCTTGTCTTTCTCCCCCTTCTCTGTCTTCTCCTCACCTTGCCAGTGCTCTGTTGCTGAACTTTCCTCCTCAGAGGTTCCATCCCCTCTACCTTCAGGCCCATCCTCTGCCTCTCCCCCTGACTTTGCTTTGCCTTCACTCACCTCTGCTTTGTCTGTAAGATCATCTGAGAGGATCTCTGTTACCTCCTTTCTTCTGCCACGCACCTTGACATTTTCCTCATTTGCTTTTACCTCTTGCTCCTCTATTCCATTGCCTCTTGAATCCTCTGCTCCTTCCTTCTCCTCTGGGATATCTGACAAGTGATCACACTTAAAATCATACTTTGCCATGGATTTGGATATTATGGGTTTAGTCTCTTTTTCGTTTCCTTGGTCAATCAATTTCCCACTATACCATATGTTTTGGTCAGTTTCCACTTCATCATCATCTTTCTCTCCACGACTAAATTCTACTGCCTCAGGCTGCTGGAATCTATCAGCTATACTCTGCTGACTCTCACTTCACCTTGCATGTAACTGTCTGGCTTTTCTACTGATTCTCTTTCACTGTCACAGATCACATCTTGCTTGCTACTTTCCCTTTTCTTAACAAAATCTTTATTTTCTTCATTCTCAGTATTCATACCTCTATCTGCTAAGTTGCCAAAGAAAGTACTGATATTTTTTGTGCTCTTTTGCCTTTTTCTTAAATCCTTCATATCTGCTATTTCTGCCAGTTTAGTTCCTTCTCAGAGACTATTTCTTCTGCTTCTAAATCCTTCTGACTGTGTCCTCCATCAGTTTCCTTTTCTATTTCCTTAGCATCAAACTGATCAACACTACTTTTATTTTCATGTCTAAATTCCTCTTTTGGGCTGGGCGCAGTGGCTCACGCCTGTAAATCCAGCACTTTGGGAGGCCGAGGCGGGTGGATCACGAGGTCAAGAGATCAAGACCATCCTGGTCAACATGGTGAAACCCCGTCTCTACTAAAAATACGAAAAATTAGCTGGGCGTGGTGGCACGTGCCTGTAATTCCAGCTGCTCAGGAGGCTGAGGCAGGAGAATTGCCTGAACCCAGGAGGCGGAGGTTGCAGTGAGCCAAGATCGCGCCACTGCACTCTAGCCTGGGTAACAAGAGCGAAACTCCGCCTCAAAAAATAAGTAAATAAATACCTCTTTTTGTAAACCCTCTCCATCAGTGTCAGTCTGAGGTCCCACCTGGCCTGAGTCGTCACCTGCTTCCTCATCTGAAAATGCTTCCTTAATCATAGGTGGTTGCATCATGAAAATACCTTGTGACACATGTTGTTTACACGCTTTCCCTTCTTTCATTTCTGACATCTCTTCACATTCATCACTATTATCGTTTTCAGTAAGAGCCGTACACTGCATCAGATTCCCAATTGTTTGCTGTTTCTGTAAATTTTTTGAAGTAATCATCATACGTTATACTGCTACTAGCTGACAAAGACAACTTATCTACCTTATATACTGCCAAGATTTTACATTTTTATAAGTTTAGGAGAATAAAAGTAGCAAGTTTTACCAGGTATTTTTCTGAAGTTTTGTTTTCCTTAAGGATCATTTGTGCCACTCACTAGTCTATGATACATCTAATTTTGATTTAGTAACATGTATCTGTGTTTAATTTTCAACTCTTACTACCTGTCTTAATTTTGCCATTATTCACAATACCATCAATATTTATTCTCTGCCTCTTTCCTCATTCTGAATCAATCCTTACATAAAACCCACTTCCAGATTGATTTTACAAGATGCTATTTAAAAACGCATACTTCTTGGCCTGGCACAGTGGCTCACGTCTATGATTCCAATACTTTAAGAGGCCAAGGCAAGTGGATCACCTGATGTCGGGAGTTCAAGATCATCCTGGCCAACATGGTGAAAACCTGTCTCTACTAAAAATACAAAAATTAGCTGGGTGTGGTGGCGAATGCCTGTAATCCCAGCTACTTGGGAGGCTGAGGCAGGAGAATTACTTGAACCCAGGAGGCAGAGGTTGCAGTGAGCCGAGATTGTGTCACTGCACTCTAGCCTGGGCAACAAGAGCAAAACTCCATCTCAAAGAAAAAAATGTACACTTTTATTGTACACAGTGTAGTTTAGTATATTTTTCCCACCTTCCCTTTCAATTTTTTTTTTCTTGAACAGACTTTCATTCTGTTACCTAGTTGGGAGTGCAGTGACATGATCTCAGTTCACTGCAGCCTCTGCCTCCCAGGTTCCAGCAATTCTCTCACCTCAGCCTCCTGAGTAGCTGGGACTATGGGTGCGTGTCATCACACCCAACTAATTTTTATAGAGTAGAGATGAGACTTTACCATGACGGCCAGGCTGGTCTTAAACTCCTGATCTCAAGTGATCCGCCCATCTTGGCCAACCAAAGTGCTGGGATTACAAGCGTGAGCCAGTGCACCTGGCCTAATTTTAAAATTTTGATTTGTCTTTTGAGTCCACAAAATAAATAAAAATGTAAAATTTGAAAAAAATGAATACTCCACTCCTAAAACTAAAAAAACTGTACATGAAATGTGTTTATCTATAAACTAAATAATGAATATATTTTTCTTTTCTAAACAAAATTTTCATATGAGTTTTCAAATATTTTACCTTCCTTGTATCCATTATATTAATTATAATAATTTATATACATGAAAGAACACTAAGAGGAAAGAATATTAAGTGTAAAATGTAAGATTTGTATAAAAACTATGAAATCAAACACTGACATTTGAATAAAATGCATTAACAATATAAAATTATTTCCTGCTGGAAAAAATAAGGCAAAACCAAATTGTTGATCTAAATTCTACAAATAAGCTAATAGATGCAAATATCTGATGATTTTGGGTCTCTGGATTCAAATTTTATACTAATTCAAATTTTATAAATTGTGATGAGTTAGGCCTAGGAAGAGGTTTCTACTGTGCCAAAGAAATTATTAAAACAGGACAAGTTAAAAATTAAGAAGCTAATACATAGAGACAGTATAATAAGCCAGGCGCCATGGCTCACACCTATAACCCCAGCACTTTGGGAGGCTGAGGTGGGTGGATCACGAGGTCAAGAGATCGAGACCATCCTGGTCAACAAGGTGAAACCCCGTCTCTACTAAAAATACAAAAATTAGCTGGGCATGGTGGTACGCGCCTGTAGTCCCAGCTACTTGGGAGGCTGAGGCAGGAGAATTGCCTGAACCCAGGAGGCGGAGGTTGCGGTAAGCTGAGATTGTGCCATTGCACTCCAGTCTGGGTAACAACAGCAAAACTCCGTCTCCAAAAAAAAAAAAAGAAACAGTATAATAAATCTTTTCTCATTTATTAAAATAGGCCTGGTAGGGCCTAAACTTAACTATAGAAAGTATAAAACATGCCTGTAATCCCAGCACTTTGGGATGCCGAGGTGGGCAGATCACGAGGTCAGGAGTTCGAGACCAGCCTGGCCAACATAGTGAAACCCTGTCTCTGCTAAAATACAATTTGCTGGGTGTAGTAGCAGGCGGCTATTATCCCAGCTACTCCGGAGGCTGAGGCAGGAGAATCACTTGAACACTTGAACATAAGAGGTGGAGGCTGCAGTGAGCTGAGATCATACCATTGTACTCCAGCCAGGGCAACAGTGCAAGACTCCATCTCAAAAAAAAAAGGGGGAAGTATAAAATATATATCAGGTTAAAAGGAATTGCTTTCCACTTCTGTTTATTCTAGGTCTTGCTCTTTAAAAAATACGAAAAATTAGCTGGGCATGGTGGTATGTGCCTGTAATCCCAGCTACTCAGGAGGCTGAGGCAGGAGAATTGCCTAAACCCAGGAGGCGGAGGTTGTGGTGAGCCAAGATCGCACCATTGCACTCTAGCCCTGGTAACAAGAGCAAAACTTCATCTCAAAAAAAAAAAAAAAAAAAAAAAAAAATCCTGATTCTTTTAAGAGCCCTAAGAGAGCTAGGCCCAGTTGCTGGAACTGATTTCTAAAGGCACATACCTTTCTTCCCCTAGCACAAGAAAGCAGCCCTGAAGAGGGAGAGCCTGGAGTCTAAGCGAAGTGGAATGAAAGGCACAAGAGAGATGTCTGCTTGGAAGCACAGTCGGTCAAAAATCAGTCAATATTTATTGAGCTTCTACAACTGTGTTCGAACAGCTCTCCCATATCCAAAGCAATGCTGTTATTCACCATGCCTTTTAGTATTATAGATAGAACAAATGAGGACTTGCTCTAAATTTTTACAATTTAGCATGATTCTCTTGCATTTCAGAGACTTCAATTTTAAGAGTTTTAAACTTGAAAACATGTCAAAGACACTAGAAACAGAAATTAAATATTTTCTATAGTCTTCTTCCCTCAATTACATTTCTCCAATTTATTTTCCTGATCCGCAAATCCCTCATTCATTCATCCCACCAGTCCTTAAAGCCAGGTAAAGCAAAAGATTTCAGGACAGGTCTTAATCTCTCTAGCAGTGTGAAAACCACAGCCTATTCCCTTCTTTTGCTATTTGTTATTCATTAAAGGTCTCTCTTTCCCACCCATGAACAGCCTGATTTCCAAATGTTTAATCTTATTATTTATTATGCTATCAATTCCCCGATAAATTAAAGCCCAACCAAATATTGGAAAAGGTTATCAAAGATTTTCACTAAAATCACAAAATTTTAAAGCTAAAGAAGTTATTAAAACCATTCCATAAAGTCAGCATAATAATTCATTCAAAGTCATACTCAACCAAAGTCAGAGAGCCACTCTGTCAATAAATGATAGTCTTTTCCTATACATAAGAACTGCAATCATAATCTATGGCTTGACAGAAGGAAAAGTATGGCTATTATAACTTAAGTTAGGGATCCCAAAGAGCAAATTTCAGCAATAAAATTGCTTTCTCACTTGTTTCTTTACAGAAAATACCATCAGAACAAGCCAAAACAGAGGTTATCTACATTGCATTCCTCTGTCTTTTAAATTCTAAAGTAAGTAAATGCTTACGTTTCTTTTTTTCCAAAAACCATCCAAAAAAAATAACTTAAACTGCTCTTACCAACAATAATGAAAATAAATCTCCATATTATACCTTTTGTTTTGGAACTGGTGACAATTTTAATGACTTTTCATCAGAATTCTGGCTCATCATGTGTGTCTGAAATAAATAAAAAATATATATTATAAAAATAATACAGTATATATACTATATATTTGTACATTGTGTGTGTGTGTGTGTGTGTGTGTATGTGTGTATATATATATATATATAATGAAGGGAAAACAGTTCAGATAGTAATAGAATCCACTGTCAATTGCCATACTATTAATGTAAGGATCAAAACAAATTTTACTGGCCAGGTGTGGTGGCTCACGCCTATAATCCCAGCACTTTGGGAGGCTGAGGCGGGTGGATCACCTGAGGTTGGGAGTTTGAGACCAGCCTGACCAACATGGGGAAACCCTGCCTCTCATAAAAATAAAAATTTAGCCCAGGGTGGTGGCACATGCCTATAATTCTAGCTGCTTGGGAGGTAAGGCAGGAGAATTGCTTGAACCCAGGAGGCAGAGGCTGCGGTGAGCCAAGACCATGCCATTGCACTCCAGCCTGGGAGATAAGAGCAAAACTCCATCTCAAAAAAAGAAAACAAATTTTACTGTATGTCAATTATACCTCAGTATAAAATAACAAAATAAAGTAAAAACAACAAAGTAGCATTCATGCATATAAAAAGTATAGGAAGCGTACACACATTCACAAACATGATGAACTGAAATTCAAACTCATTTATATAGATAGATAGGAAATCATTACCATGTTTAAGATATCAGTAGATTCTCCAAGGCTTCCTATAGTTGAAAAATTATCTATCTCTGCTTCTTTGGTCATTTCATCTTGAAAATTATCTGAATGGTAAAAGAGAAAAAGGAAATCCAGATTTCAACAGAAAAGTGAAAGACAACTGGACAGAAACAGAAATTATTTTATAATATAAAGTGAAGGTACAATTTTACTAAAAGTCCTTTAACCTCATGTCAGGGAAATTAAAGAATTCATTCACAGTAACACAGGTTTTAAAATTTCTTTGTGAAAGTTGATACCAATTAGATTAAAATTGTTTCATTCATATGAACAGGCAAACACTATTCCTTTGGGATAAATAACTACCCAGGTATCAAGCACTGTAACAGTTAGTCCTAAGAAGGGCCCCAATGACCTACATCCTCCTAGAGTTCACACTCTTATGTAGTTCCCTTGCACATTATACCAGGTTGGTCCATATGTGCAGCCAGTAAAATAAAGCAGACATAATTGTGATAGCATTATAGCTTCTGTTTTGGTTATACAGATGTGCATACTTGTACTTGCTCTTACTTTCTTCCCACCTTGGCTACACACATGTGTACTCTCTCTCTCTTTCTCTCTAATCACTTGCTCTATAGGAGTCCATGTTGTAAGCATCTCAAGGAAGTGAGGCCTCCTGCCAATGGCCACATGAATGAGCTTGGAAGTGTATCTTCCAGCCTCAGTCAAGCCTTCCGATAACTGCAGCTCCATCTGATGGTGTGACTGCAACCTTATGAAAGGACCTGGGTCAGAACCACCCAGCTAAGTGGCTGCTGAAGTCCTGACTCTCAAAAACTGTGTGAAATAATAAATGCTTGTTGTCTTAATCTGCTAAGTCTTAGGATCATTTTTAAAATGCAGCAACAGATAACTAGTATAACCTAGAACTTTTCACAGAAAATTGCAAGGTTATTACATCATAAAGTAGATAATTAAATGTCATAAGCTGTACTTTGCATTTTTCTGAATTCTCACTTTGCCCTCAGTGATCACCAATAAATACATTTGGAAGTAGCTCCTTAATGAAGTCTTCACTAAAATATGACAGTCCACACTGATCCCTCCCCTTTAAATCCACTGAATTGAATGAGCAAATAATCATTTGGTATTTATTCCATGTGTGGTAATATGCAGAATAGCAACCTAAGTAATTGCAAATTCTTTTTTTTTAATTGTCTATAATTGCTATTTCTTAATGAAGTTATAGTCTATAAGGGAATATAAAACATAGGATATAGGGGACGAGAAATTACATCGGTATGTTGGGAATCAGGAAAAGTTTCACTAAGGAGGTACACAGAAGGATGACGAGAACTCTAAGAGGCAGAGATGGAGGTGTAAGGGGAAGACAATGAAGCCCATTCCTAATAAAGCAGCAGAACGGTAGTCTCATGAGCAGAGGAAAGAAGCTTGTCTTGAAGGCTTACCAAGTGCCCAAAACACAAGCTTTTATATATGTTACACTGACCCTATGACAACAAGGAAGGTTAAGTATTATATCCTCATTTTATAAATGAAGAAATTAAGTATCAGTGACTTGTTGGTGTCCAGTGTCAATCTCAGGTCTGTCTGACTCCACAGCCCTTGTTCTTTCCACTAAGTTAAACTGACTAGATCAGTCTGATCAACATTAAGGGTCAGCAAACTTTTTCTCTAAAAGGCCATACAGTAAACATTTCAGGCTTCCCAGGCCATACGGTCTCTGTCCTAACTAACCTATGACATTGTAGCAGAAAGTAGTCACAGACAATACATAAATGAATGGGTATGGCTGGGTTCCAATAAAACTTTATTTATAAAAACAGGTACCCAGCTAGATTTGGCCCATGAGCCATTGTCTGTAGACTACTGATCTAAATAAAGATTGTAAGGAAAAAGCTATTGAGAGATAAACCTAGAAAAACAGTTGGGAATTATATGGGAAAATTAACACTTATTTTCATAAATATCAGAAATTCACCGAATACACTGGAGCAAATGGAAACTGAATTGCATCTGAGGAAGATCAATGTGAAAGTGTTATGCAGGATAGATTGGAGAGGGAAGAGAATATAGGTTTGGAAAATACATAGCAGATTTATAAGCTGATGACCTTGCGTCAGACTTGACTGAGAAAACAGAATCATCATATCTGATCCACTTGATCTTCTCACCAACAAATACACACAACTACCTCTATTTGTACCCAAGTTCTCACTTGCCTGTTAAAATGTAGGATGTATTTTTCCTGTTACCAAAGACCACTCTCTGTGTCAGCCCCTCCTCTTTTCCAAGAGCTTTGCAACTTTGGTTATACTTTCTCTCTTCTGTGCTATCTATCTCTCCAGGACTACTGGCTCATTCATTAACATACAAGTGTGCACCAATATTTCCTACCGAGCCTACATCCCCCTCTAGCTGCCAGTCCATTTCTCTGTTCCACTTCATCAGCAAATATACAAAGGAATTATCTGTTCATCTTATCTCCTCTTCACTCCCTCATTCCCTATTCATAACTCAACTCTTAACACTCTGGCTTCTTCCCTGATCTTCCCCTAGAACTGCTCTTGTCGAGGTCACCAGTAAACTCCATTATACCAAATCCATTGGATACTTCTTTGAATTACTTTCCCTTGACCTTTGAGCAGTATTTTGCATTCACAACACTACGCTATCCTAATTTCCCACCTCCTGCCTTACTGGCTGACAAAGCTGAGGAAGGCTTCTTTGCTGGCTCTTCTTTCTCTACCCCTCAAATGTTAGCTGTTCTTAGGGCTACATTCTGGGCCCTCTTCTCTTCTGACTCTATTATCTAATAGGTGATTTCACCAACTTCCAGGGATTTTATTATTATATTATTTTAAATAGAGAGTGGGTCTTGCTGTGTTGCCCAGGCTGGTCTCAAACTCCTGGCTTCAAGCAATCCTCCTACCTCAGGCTCTCAAACTGCTGGGACTATAAGCATAAGTTACTAGGCCCAGCCAATTTTAAATCCCATCTCTATGTTGATGGCTTCCAAATTTATATTTCTAGTCCAGGGCTCTCTTCTAAACTTTAGGCTTGTTTTTCAACAATCGGCTTGGTATTTCTGCTTGGATATCTCACAGATATCACAGGATTAGTTCTTAAATTTCTTCCTCAAAACGTATCAACATTCCTCTTGCTTAGGAATCATCTTGGATTCCTCACTTTACTTCACACCTATTTGTAGTACATTAGTAAGTTTAGCAAGTCTGGTTGGTTTTTATGTCTATAATGCATTTCACATGTTCCCTCTTCTCTTTTCTCCATTTCCACTGCAAACAAACACCTTGGTCCATACACTATCATCTCTTGCAAAGGGCTCACAAGTATTCTTCCTATTTCTAGTCTGGCCTCTGTATAAATCTATATGGAGGTAGAAGTGATCATAATCATCTTAAAGTGGAAATAGGATTGAAACACATCAGCCTACTACTTAAAATCTTTTAATGGCTTTCTATTGCGCTTAAGAAAAACACTCAAGTAGGTCTCTCATGGCCTGTAAAACCATAAATAATTTTTCACTGTCTCTTTCTCCCATACTATTCTGTCTTATTCTTTTCCTCACTTTCTAGCCCCACTGGTTGGTTTTTCTTCTTAACTGCCTCCAAACCTTTGCCTATACTAGTTTCTTTGCCTGAAATACATATATTCTCCTTGTGTAGTCATCTCTTTCTTATCCTTGAGCTTAAATGACACCTCCTTAGTAAGACGTATCCTGATTTACTTTCCTCCATTATTAAGACTGACATCCGTGAAAGATTTAGAAAAAGTCACAGTATGTGTTAGTTACAACTTTCAAAATACATTTCTGCATGTTCTCACTCATAGGCGGGTGATGAACAATGAGAACACATGGACACAGGGAGGGTAGCACTACACACCGGGGTCTATTGGGGGGAATAGGGAAGGGACAGCAGAAGGGGGGGAGCTGGGGAGAGATAGCATGGGGAGAAATGCCAGATGTGGGTGAAGGGGAGGAAGGCAGCAAATCACTCTGCCACGTGTGTACCTATGCAACTATCTTGCATGTTCTGCACATGTACCCCAAAACATAAAATGCAATAAAAAAAATAAAAAATTTTAAAATTTAAAAATTAAAAAAAAAAAGAGAGTGTTAGCAGTCACAAAAAGATAAGAGATGGCATTTTCTTTTGATCTAGCTACAAAATTATGCATATTTTCACATTCAAATCTCTGGGACTGAGAAACAATTTTCCCTAAACATAAATGTCTTTTTTCCCTTGTACACAATACAAACTACTTGTCAGAATCTACTATCTTTTCCATGTCCAGGTCTGAAGAGTTCCATTAAACACTGATTCTTATTTCAAAACAAAACATACAAAAGTTGTGGGTCAGGTATAAGAAATCAGCTCATTACCAAGATCCTAGTTATATATAATATCCCATTTCCATGGCCCACCATTCTTACCTAAGTTCCCAATCCTTTATTACCTCAACCCTTTGCCTATGTTCCTGATCTCAAAGATATACAAATTATCTGTTCCTAGTCCCTCATTCTTAGTTAGGTTTATCTTAAGAAGATAATCCTGATGCCCGGTTTATCTTCTTAATTTCAAATCTACTGCTTACTCTCTGATCCCCTGGTGCTGGCTTCTTGTCCTACCCCTACCAAAAAGAGAAGTATGTTGGCTATTACAAATAAAACTGCTATGAACCTTCAAAACAAATATATGTTTTGAAGCTTACAGTAACTTTCAGAAAAGGAATGTCTCCTTCAAAAATTATTTGCTGCCAGGCGCGGTGGCTCACGCCTGTAATCCCAGCACTTTGGGAGGCCGAGGCAGGTGGATCACGAGGTCAAGAGATCGAGACCATCCTGGTCAACATGGTGAAACTCTGTCTCTACTAAAAATACAAAAAATTAGCTGGGCATGGTAGCACATGCCTGTAATCTCAGCTACTCGGGAGGCTGAGGCAGGAGAATTGCCTGAACCCAGGAGGCAGAGGTTGCAGTGAGCTGAGATCACGCCATTGCACTCCAGCCTGCGTAACAAGAGTGAAACTCTGTCTCCAAAAAAAAAATTAAAAAAATTATTTGCCATTTACTTTAAAAAATATGCATCATTGGAACAATAATTTTAAAACACAGGAGAATCCCTAAATTTAATTAAGAAAGAATTATTTCCTCTCTAGATGTCCTGGAGTAAGAAACACAAATATTTGTAAATAAATTAGTTAGAAGAGGTAAAGAATAGTGAAAGAGCTGGGATTATAATTTAAAACATGAAATCTGTATCTAATAGGTAGTGAGGTAAAGATATTAAATTAATCATAACAACCTTTACTGAGGTGTTTCTAGAGGTGTTGGGCTCAGTGCTAAATATTTTATATGCCTGATCTCACTGAATCCTCACAATCACTCTCTGAAGTCAGTATTATTAAATCAATTTCAAAGACAAGGAAACTGAGGCTTAGAGATGTTAAGTAACTTTCCCAAAGTCAGTCACACAGCTAGTAAATGTCAAAACTGGCATTTGACCCCAGATGAGTTTAACTCCATATCCCATGCTCTAAACCACTGTTATACAGCCCAAATATAGAATTTCAAATAGATCCAGAAGACCTGCATTCAAATTCTGACCCCTTGGTTTTTAAGCTGAGTGACCTTGACCAAGTCACATGATCTCTTCAAGCCTTGCTTTTCTCATCTGTAAAATGAGGACTATAATTCCCTCCCAAGTTCATCGAGTGGTTTCAGGGTTTAAAGAGGATCAAGCTAAGGAAGGTACTATGACTGTTATCCACTGCTCTATAACGATAAGCTGCTGTGCTTACATGGCACTCTTAGGGGCAATGATGGTGCTTTCTATTTGTAAGGATACTTCTGGATTTGAGTTCAAATGAAAGATTTAGGCTCTAACCAGGGAAAGAACAATTTAAATAACTGGAGAAAACATCTTAAGATAAACATAAAAACAACAGGAATAAAAGGCACATTCATCCTGAGAGCAGACAGAGTAGCAAAAGTTACCTGGTTCCTCTGGCTGCATGAGGTCCTCTTCAGGTAAGATTCTCTCTAGACGGTCATTCTCAGAACAACATGGAAAGAGTGAATTGTGGGAAAAAGAAGCAGAAAGGTCAAGAGTTCCTTCTACTGGAGGTAGTGTTCTTATCAATGGAATAGAATCTGGAGATCTCTCCTTCAAAATAAGCAGGTTAAACAAACTATTAAATGACGTTATATATTTAATATTGATATAAACTTTCCTCAAAGTCGCTAAAAATATTTAAGAGAAAGACTTCAAAGTATGCTAACACTGCGCAACATTTTACTTCTTAATAATCCCCAAAGGCTCAAAAACATTTTGTCCTGTTGTCTCTGTATCTTACTTGCTCTAAATTGTCAATTTGTAACCTTTTTTTTTCCACATAATGGGGGGAAAAATGTGTGTGCACTTTCTCTAACCGCCCTAAGAAATAAAACATTACTTAGGAGATGTAAATAAACAACTACAAAACACTAATGGAGTATTTCTTTCTTAACTTTTCCATATATGCTTTTTTATAAGAAAACATCAGATTTAACCTTTTTACTTCAAAAGAAATATGTTGGCTATTATAAATAAAACTGCTATGAAACTTGAAAAAATGTGTTTTAAACCTTAGTAATTTTCAAAAAAGGAATGTCACCTTCAAAAATTATTTACCATTTACTTTAAAAGACATATGTGTCATTGGGGCCAGGCTTGGTGGCTCACACTTGTAATCCCAACACATTGGGAAGCTGAGGCTGGTGGACCAGGAGAGGTTGGGAGTTCAAGACCAGCCTGGCCAACATAGTGAAACCCCATCTCTACTAAAAATACAAAAAAATTAGCCAGGTGTGACTGTGTGTGCCTATAGTCCCAGCTACTCAGGAGGCTGAGGCAGGAGAATTGCTTGAACTCTGGAGGTGGAGGTTGCAGTGAGCCAAGATCACACCATTGCACCCCAGCCTGGGCGATAGAGTCTGTCTCAAACACACACACACACACACACACACACACACACACACACACACATATACGTCATTGGAACAATAATTTTAAAACACAGGGAGAATCTCTAAATTTAATTAAGAGAAAATATTTCCTCTCTCTAACTGAAGTCCTTATTCCTTTGTTTTCCCATTTCATTGTTTATAGTGTATAACCTTCCACTGCTCATGAGGTTTAACTAAAAGATAAAAGAATGTAGAATTATATAAGATAATTAAGTTCCACAGATTTCTGAACAACGTAACATTATGCCTATAGTTAACAATACTGTATTGCACACTTAAAAACTCTGTTAAGTGGGTGTATTTGTTGTGTTTTTATTACAATAAAAAAGCATATAACAAGTCAAACCACATGCAGTTGAAAAAACAATTCAGCATTCAATGTGAGGTGAGAAATAGACTATAAAAGGATGATTTTATAGCACCATTGTCTATATGCAAAGGATTTTCATAATTTAAATTTTCTAATTTGTGTCTTTAAAAGCATTAAGCTTTTCTGAAGTTTTCTGAATTAACTCTAAAAGTCTGTAAGCACTCAACTCTAATAATTTTACTAAGCAAATTTATCTGAAAAGACCTTTTGATTTAAAAAGAAAACATATTTTTCTTTTAGTTTTCTTTGCAGTGTTAGATAATACTATTATACAGAATAGGCCACAATTGTACCCTCTCTCTTCGCCGCATCCGCGCTGATAGAGTTCTCTGCAGTACATTATTTCCTGAGGTTAAATTGCCAAAGGGCAGAAAAGATAAGCAAGTATCATTTATTTCATCGAATTCAATTTCTTCTGCCACACCAGGTCGAGGAGCAGCAAAAACTACCATGTGACATCCACCACAAGCAACCTGCAGTATAAATCCACAGAAAAACTAATCAACACTGGCTTCAAACACAAATGGGTTTTTAAGTTATCATCTGTAAGACATTTACTTAGTGGTAGGCTTCCTTGATGGACTGACTTGGTGAATCTGTCTATACATACGTGTGTGCACAATGAGAATGTGTACACAATATGTACACAATTACCATACATATTCATTAAGCACTGTGATTGAAAATGAGAACAAGTTTAATCTACCATTTTACTTTACATTTAAAATAATACAGAGAAAAAATAATTGGTAAATTACATTTCTCCTTACAGTTAGAAAATGTTGTATTTTAATCTGGGAGGAACATTAAAAATGTGAAAAACTTACTGGAAGAATTTATTTTAAAAAAGTACAAATCAGTCTCTGGGGCTAATTATGTCTCTAAGCCTTCTTTATATGGACATTTTCTGAATTTAATGCTTAAAAGTTCTTAGAGGAAAATAAATGAAAGTATGCATGATGACGGAACAATGAAAAATGAAATCAGCTTTCAAAGAATTTTGAGAAATGATTTGCAAGAAAATGCTTTTAAAAAACCCCATAGTGCAATATTTTCTGTACACAGGTTCTAGATACTTTATAATGTTCTACTTTTCCTTCATAATACTTTAAAATTTAAATATATATAAATATATATCCTTTTAAAAATTATCATTAAACTGTAATAAGTCCTCAATGAATGAGGACTTGGTTATTTCATTCATCACTATATACAGTACTTTGTATTTCTTTTTTTTTTTTTTTTTTTTGAGATGGAGTTTCACTCTTGACACTCAGGCTAGAGTGCAATGGCGCAATCTCGGCTCACTGCAACCTCCGCATCTTGGATTGAAGCATTTCTCCTGCCTCAGCCTCCTGAGTAGCTGGGATTACAAGCACCCACCACAATGCCCAGCTAATTTTTGTATTTTTAGTAGAGATGGGGTTTCGCCATGTTAGCCAGCCTGATCTTGAACTCATCAACTCAGGTGATCTGCTTACCTCGGCCTCCCAAAGTGCTGGAATTACAGGCTTGAGCCACCCTGCCCAGCTAGTACTTCGTATTTTTTATATTTAGCACACTATCTTACACATAGTAGGCTTTCATTAAATAATTGTCAAATCAATAAATGAAAGTGTTCCATATTATGAGACACTGAGTCTTTGGAGGACAAATTCTAGTACTATCATCAAGTAAACAGAATTTTCAAAAGACTAAACTGTATTAAGAAACAATACAGGTATGATGCGTGATAGTGATGTGACACTGAAATAATATATCCTCAACCTAAAAAAATTTAACCAAAATACCACATCTCCAAAACTCTTTATTTATTTATTTTTTTTTTTGAGACAGAGTGTTACTCTGTTGCCCAGGCTGGAGTGCAGTGGCATGACCACAGCTCACTGCAACCTCCACCTCCCAGGTTCAAGCAATTCTCATGCCTCAGCCTCCCAAGTAGCTGGGATTACAGTTGTGTGCCACCACATCCAGCTAATTTTTGTATTTTTAGTAGAGACAGGGTTTCACCATGTTGGCTAGACTGGTCTTAAACTCCTGATCTCAAGTGATCCACCTGCCTTGGCCTCCCAAAGTGCTGGGATTACAGGAGTAAGCCACTGCACTGCACCCCGCCAAAACTCTATTATCAGACTTCCTGTTATGCAGGATTTGAGAGTCTCTAACATTTAATTCAGCAAATATTTACTAAAGACCACTGTGAGCAAGGTACTCTGCTAGGTGCTACACAATATACAAAGCTTGCAGGCATGGCACAGTCCCAGCTTTCAACAGACATATGAGAACGAAGAAGAGTCAAGATTTCAGCAAAGCGGAAGATGATAAAGGAGGAAAATTAGGAGAGAGACATTTTCTGAGTGGCATAATGTCTGAGATGTGGCTTTTAGGAAACTAATATTATGTTTATTAGATATATCCATGACACTCTTTCATACAAACATAAAAGTATTTATATCCTATGAAATACTGAAAGACTCAAATGTAGGAATATGAAAATATAAACAGGGAAATGTGATGCCCTTACCAATTTAACTACAAACTTCAAAAAATTACAGCACAAAGTGGGAGTGAACTGATTGGTAAAATTCTCCAGTCCGAGTCCTAATTTTCCATGGCGACCATCTCCAAAAGTATACATAAGGCCATTATCTAAAATGCAAAAAAATGAGAATTATAAAAGTTTTACTTGTATGGATCTATTTGTAAACAGATAAATATATTAACTTATACTGCAATTATAATTTTCCCCTTCAAATTCTACATTGAATTTACTCTGATCTACTGATCTTTCCATACTCTCTATGGTCTCTGTGGTCCTGCATGTAACATCAGGCAATAAATATTCTGAGAATAAATCAATTAACCTTGGTGGTTTGTGAAGATGATGACCAATAACACAAGGCAGTGTGTGAAGTGACAGCAATAAAGCATGAGAGCTTGAGATACACATCATATATTCCAAGGGGAGAAGGAGATATTTGTATTCTGACCCCTACATCCCAACACGGACTACTTTCCTTTTTCCTGAGGTCACTGATAGATCAGATTTTCTCAGCCTTGGCACTACTGACATTTGGGGCCAGATAATTCATGGTTGTATGGGTCTCTCCTGTGCACAATAGTATGTTCAGCAGCATCCCTGGCCTCTACCCACTAAATGGCCAGTAAGACAACGCCGCTCTGCAGTCATGACAATTAAAAAATGTCTCAAAATGTTGTCATGTAACTTGGGAGGTGGGGGGTGCACAAAATCTCTACTACTGGCTTAGTTTAACTAATCTGGCTCCTGGGCTGTGGAATACCTTTGAAGTAAATGCCATAAGCCAACCATGCTAACCAATTTCTATACCAATACCTGGGTCCCCTCTGAAGCTAGGCCCACAATGATGATGAGTAATCTTGTCACTTCTCGTCAGTTAGTCCTTTTGCTCACTGCCATAGCAGCTATTATGAACCTTCCTTTCTTCAAGCCGCTCCTTCATACCCTCCATCTCAAATGGGGTAAGGGTCAGCTCAGCAGAAATAAAGGGTGTTAATATGGTGCAGAGGAGGGGAATTCTCCTCTAGTCTGGGGATTAGGGAAGGCTTTCAAAGGGAAACTTAAAGAATTAGTAGGGCTTAGCTGCAGGAAGAAAGGAGCAAAGAATCTTCCAGGCAGTCAGCAGTACATAGAAAGACTCTGAATCAAGAGCAAATGTGCCTTGGGCAAGAAGCTGAAAGACAACTAATAAACCTGGAGCACCAAGAGGAGAGTGGTGGGAGATGAGTCTGAAGAAGTAAAAAAGGACTACACATTGTGTCCTATCAGTTGAGATGAAGAATTCTTGAACTTTATCCTAAGGACATTAAGAAGGAAAATGAATGGTTTTAAGCTGGGAAACAATTGGATCATCTTTGGGGACTTCTGGTTTAAGATGGCAGTTACTGCATACTAAGTAAATCCAAGAGAATTGACTGAAAAATCATTAGAAATAATAATTCATCAAGGTGGCAAGTATAAAAATTAATTTACAAAAATAGGTAGATTCCCTGTAAATATATAAGTAAGTGATATTCAGTGTTTGACTTTTTAGACTCTTTTTTTTTTTTTTTTTGAGACAGTCTTACTCTGTCACCCAGGCTGGAGTGCAATGGCACGATCTCGGCTCACTGCAACCACTACAACCTCTGCCTCCCGGGTTCAAGTGATTCTCCTGTCTCAGCCTCCTAAGTAGCTGGGATTACAGGCACACACTGTCACCCCCAGCTAATTTTTGTATTTTTTTTTTTTTAGTAGAGATTAGGTTTCACCATGTTGACCAGGCTAGAGACTCTTATAATTCTTATTATTAAGTATTTATGTCCTTCCTTTATATATACTCCTTATCAACTTTATCCCTTCCCCTTTCTTTTCAACCTGATTTCTTTACCCAAAATATTTAAGGTTTGCCTTTTTAATTTGATTGTCCTTTGTCTGAAAAAAATAAACACCAAGCCGGGCACAGTGGCTCACGCCTGTAATCTCAGCACTTTGGGAGGTCAAGGCAGGTAGATCACTCGGGGTCAAGAGTTTGAGACTAGCCTGACCAACATGGCAAAATCCTGTCTCTACTAAAAATAAAAAAATTAGCTGGGAGTAGTGGCGGGCACCTGTAATCCCATGTACTTGGGAGGCTGAGGCAGAAGAATCGCTTGAACACGGGAAATGGAGGTTGCAGTGAGCCGAGGCTGTGCCACTGCACTCCAGCCAGGCGACAGAGTGAGACTCTGTCTCAAAAAAAAAAACAGAAACAAAGAAACCCCCAATCCAAGCTGCCTGATTGCACTTCCAATCTCAGAGAGCTTTTAAAAATTTGAGCCACTGGCTATAATGGGAACTAGCAAGATCTTACAGATAACCCACTACATACTTCTCATTAGTCCTGATGGAAAAAAAAATCCACACCACTTGTCCTCTAGGGACAATTGATGAACAAAAAGGCAAACAAAGTTAATGTTCAATTATTTGTGCTATAACTCTTTTGATCAGGAGTAAAGGTACTATGAAAATTTAACTAAATAATCAAATTGCATATTGGATGACAGATTAAAAACGGTATGTATTCACTATCAGTGGGAACTTAGAGTTAATGAAAAATGACAGTAAGGACAGAGAAAGTGAGATTAGGACCCTATAGTTACGAGATACATATCAACAACTCTTAGTGGATGATGAATGAATACTTTTTACATTTTATATAATGCTATTTCATGATATATTATCAAGAACATTGATGCTTGATATGGGCACGTCATCCTCTCTGAAAGGTTCTCTGAGGAAGAAGGAACAGCATATCTTGCATTTGCTGATTCCTAATTTCCCTAACCAGATACCATTAGATGAGCAGTAGCTTTTTCAGAAAGAAGGAAAAAAAATAGAAATACTAGTAGATGGATTATGTAGATATACTAGATGATTTCTGACTTTCCAATGCTTCACTTCATTTTTAGACAAAAATAGTGAAATCATATACACTTTTGTTACAAAGCATTTAAAATTGTGGACTTATCAATTACCTACATATGTGCAACTGAATCATTTAGGGGAGAATCTTTACTGAGTCCTACATTAGCAGCACACGGTTTTGAGGTTGAGAAGTGGGCTGAAAGGAACATTTCCTGCATGAAGGAGATACGACAGAGTGGAAAAAGGTATCCACTTACTGATCTCTGAGGTGCCCTTCTAACACTTGGGAAAGAGAAGGAAAGAAGTCCTTCCTGAAAACGCCTCCAGGTGACAAAAACATTAAGAATTGACTCGGCCTGAGTACAGCTCTGTCTGACTAACCAGGAAGAATGTTTTAAAATAAGTTTTTGCTTGTGGGATTTTTCCTTTTGGCCTGAGCAGAGTTAAGAGCCTTCAAACTGGCCGGGCATGGTGGCTCACGCCTGTAATCCCAGCACTTTGGGAGGCCGAGGTGGGTGAATCATGAGGTCAGGAGTTCAAGACCAGCCAGGCCAAGATGTTGAAACCCCGACTCTACTAAAAATATGAAAATTAGCTGGGCATGGTGGTGCGCGCCTGTAATCCCAGCTACTCAGGAGGCTGAGGCAAGAAAATCTCTTGAACCCGGACGGAGGAGGTTGCGGTGAGCCGAGATCGTGCCATTGCACTCCAACCTGGGTGACAGAGTGAGACTCCGTCTCCAAAATAAAAAGAGCCTTCAAACTGATTCAAAACAATTTCAAAAAGTTTCCTGTTTTCTGCCAAAGAATAACACTATGGTCTTACTTCTGACATCATCAGCCTATTGTGAGGTTCTAAATCTTGGGATCATTTCCATTCGAAATTGAATTAAAATAATAAAAAGGAGCTCACAACTTTATACATTGGAATATTAAACATGGATTTCCATTTTCCTCAGCCATTAACTCCTTTACTAAGTTAGATACATTTATTTCAGATATAATTTATTTTGTAATAAAATATGCCCAGTTCTATAAATATGTAACAGAAATTCTAATCCATACCTGTTAACAAAGCTGCGTGATTTTCTCCACAAGAAATATAACTTATTGTTTTATTCCCAATATTCTCAACAACTTTGGGTTCTGAAGTTTCAAAAAGAAGAGTGCCAAGGCCCAGCTGACCAAATTGTCCCAGCCCAAAGGTATACACAGCATCCTCTGAAAGGAAAGGGGCAAATAAAAGAGAAGGATTATGGAAGCAGACACTGTTACCATCACATCTGGAAAAACTCTGACATTCAACCTTTTATAGTAAAGGTTAAGTACCTCTGGGAAAAAAAAACACATATAAGAATACTTAACACTGAAGTATAAATCTTTCAATGAAGAAGGAAGAGAAAAATGAAAAGGTACATAATTATAAAAATTATGACATGGGTATAATTTTATCTTTTATATACAACCATAAAAGTTAAGTAAGTAACAGGTATAACAGGTATAATACAAGGCACGTAAGTCAGGGAACTACCTGAAACATCCCCATAATTACAACGTTAGCTCAGAAAGTACCAACTGTCAGTCAGTTGCAGTTGCTCACACCTGTAATCCCAGCACTTTGGGAGGCCAAGGCAGGAGGATTGCTTGAGGCCATGAGTTCGAGACCGGCCTCACCAACATGGTGAAATCCCATCTCTACTAAAATTACAAAAATTAGCTGGGCATGGTGGCACGCATCTGTAATCCAAGCTACTCAGGAGGCTGAGGCACAAGAATAACTTGAACCCAGGAGGCAAAAGTTGCAGTAAGCCAAGATCGCACAACTGCACTCCAACCTGGGTAACAGAGCGACACTCCGTCTCAAAGAATAAAAAAGAAAGTATCAACTGTCATTAAGCTAATTCACGACCTCAGATAAAACAGTGAATAGTATCTTCTACAAAAAAACTTCCTTTTAAAAGTAGTTTTGGATCACCTAACGTCAGGAGTTGGAAAAGAGCCTAAGGTCAGGAGTTGGAGAAGAGCCTGGCCAACATGGTGAAACCCTGTCTCCCCTAAAAATATAAAAATTAGCTGGGCGTGGTGGCGCACACCTATGATCCCAGCTGCTAGGGAGACTGAGGTAGGAGAATCACTTGAACCCAGGACACGGAGGTTGCAGTGAGCCGAGATCAAGCCACTGCACTCCAGCCTGGGCAACAGAGCAAGACTTCATCTTAAAAATAAAATAAAGAAGTCTAATAATCTATTTTATAAAACCTAATTTCAGAGAATTGTCTTCAGAATTGAAACAGATGGTACATACACTGTGAATAAACAGATTTATTCACAAGTAAAGCTTCTTTACTAGGAAATGCAACTATAATAAGAGAAGAGGGAAAAGCTTTTCTTTATATTGATATTTTGAAGTGATTCCAAAGGACTTCCAACAACTCAGTAAATATTAGGCCATATGTTTTCTAGAAATGGAAAAGTACAAAAACAGGATACATGACCCTGACGAAAGGGTCCTCTAGATGCATCATGTTCCTGGCTGCTGCATTAGGAAGTGCATTGTTGATTCCATTAGTCACTATCTCCTTAGTACATTGAGTTTAGTACAGTGAGTTTCTCCTACTGTAGAAGGAAGGGCAAGAGCTTGGCATTCAGGTCAGACCCAAACCTTCATTATTTCCAGCTGTGGCAAGCAGGTGAGTTACATACATTTTCTGATGTCATAATCCCTATCTAATAGAGTTGCTGACAGGATTAAAAGAGAAAACATTCAGGCAGATTTGAAAACATAATAGGACGTTCCGTTGTAAAAACACTTCTCTAAAAAATATCTAATCAACTCATCTTATTCTAACAATGGAGGTTACAAATGAAAACATAACTGTCTATTGTCATATAGTTTTACATCTTTTTCTAACAAAAATGTCTGCTTCATAAATAAGGCATATAGATATTACCCCTTAAAGAAAAGATGCTGTATATCAAGGATATGAAGCCATATTGAGGCAATGGCAAAATGATCCTTATTTTAATATTAAAAACCATCTTAGTTTCATTAATAATCACATGGCATTATTTCCAGTTCTAAATGTTCAGCTTAACAGTAGAATGTTGGGTAAATTAAAACATTTATCTATCTCTAGCTGACCAATAATTACTCTCCAATTCTTAGACTGTCATATTTTAATTAGCCTGTGAAATGAGGCCATTTAGGCAGCCTGAATCATGTTACAAACATTTTGTTCAGTATCCTGGTAGGTTCCCATTCAGGTGCTTGGATATTAGTGATGACAGCAGTTCCTATTTTATAAAAATGATCTAAGATGCTCTTATTTAAGGACATTATATTTAATAGCCAATAGAATTGTTGGCCCTATCACCTTTGTGAAATCTAACATAATTTAATGTTAATAATACTACATTAGGAAAAGATTTGATCAGTGAGCTTCACATCAACATTACTATAATTTCACAGAATATACTTGATTTCAGAACTAATAATTTGTTAAACTGTAGAAAACTTAAGTTTATCCAAACATAATCTGAGAAGTTAAGATAAATTCTCATTTGCCTCAGGACCAAGATATCATTGTGGACCCCATTTTACAACTGGCCTTTCTTGTCTGTTGGTAACTGCTGTGGATGACATACAAAATTACAAATATCACTCTGCCTTACTTAGTGTGTCCCAAGTTCCAGCCTCAGACTTTTTTCCACAGTTGTCCATGGTTTCCCTGATCTCAAGGAGAAACTATAATCACCTCATCACCACAACCAGTTGTATTTTCTAAATACAATACATTGTATTTCATGGTCATGTGCAAATATTGTATTTTAAATAAACTAATCAGAAATGAACTAAATTTCTTTTAAAGTAGTTTAATGAACGATCCTCAAATAGATTTTAAGGTAAGAGGTATATACCCAAAGAAATATAAAGTGTTCTACTATAAAGACACATGCACATGTATGTTCACTGTAGCCCTGTGTACAATAGCAAAGACCTGGAACCAACCCAAATGCCCATCAATGACAGACTGGACAAAGAAAATGTGCTACGTATACACCATGGAATACTACACAGCCATAAAAAACGATGAGTTTGTGTCCTTTGTAGGGACTTGGATGAATCTGGAAATCATCATTCTCAGCAAAGTGACACAAGAACAGAAAACCAAATACCACATGTTCTCGCTCATAGGTGGATGTTGAACAACAAGAACATGTGGACTCAGGGAGAGGAACATCACACACTGGGGCAGTTGCGGGGGTAGGGGAGAGACAGTAGGGGGTGGGGAGGGATAACATGGGGAGAAATGCCAGATATGGTATGTACCTAAAGTAAAATTTTAAAAAAAAAAGGGTTATAGACATATAGAAAAACAAAGCTGGGGAGGTCCTTCACAGAATCATCTATTCCATGTCCTTTCCTTTAATGAAATAAATTGGAACAGGTGATTAGGTATTCTTTCCTTAAGGTCTTACAAAATATTTCATAACTCTCTTAGCAATCCAGTTTAGTATTTAATCATACTGATGATCAATATACTCTTCAGGTCCATTTCTTCATCAGCTAGGACTAAATATTTTTTAAATTCTGCCTATACTGTGTTCCAGAACCAGGTTCCTCACCAGGGCTGGCTCAATAATAAAGCTCTCACAGGTCCATGGAGAAATGTGAAAAACAGGTAAAGTAGTGAAATTTCCATACAGATACATTTATACAATTTAAGGAGGTGTCCTTTATTATACAATTAAGAGCTTTTTATTTTGAAAATTTTCCTTATTTTATGATATGATAGTGCAAACTGTCATTTTTTTTCAATGCCCGTATTTAGGCAAATGCAAATCAGAAGGTGGCAACCATCTACTGGTTCTCATAACTTTTTAAACTCAAAATTTTAGATTATTCTCTGGGTTGTAACACAAGCTCTTCACTGTTTACAAAGTCATTTGTGAACTGTAAAAATTATCTCTTCATGATTTTTTCCCTCTATTACAAAGTTTTTCTCCTGTATTCCCCCATTCAATGTTGGCTGCCACAATCAGACAGGAAATACAAGGACACATTTTTTTCTTGTATCTGTTTTCTTTTTTGTTTTTTTTGAGACGGAGTTTCGCTCGGTACCCAGGCTGGAGTGCAATGGCACAATCTTGGCTCACCACAACCTCCGCCTCCTGGGTGCAGGCAATTCTCCTGCCTCAGCCTCCTGACTAGCTGGGATTACAGGCATGCACCACCATGCCCAGCTAATTTTTTGTATTATTTAGTAGAGATGGGGTTTCACCATGTTGACCAGGATGGTCTCGATCTCCTGACCTCAAGATCCACCCACCTCGGCCTTCCAAAGTGCTGGGATTATAGGCGTGAGCCATCGCGCCTGGCCAAGAATTAAGCTTTCATTAAAAGTATCATAGATTATCTTGTTGCTCACTTTATATGAAAATATTTTATAATGAATGAAGACATTATAATATAATCAACATTTGTATCCTTCAAAATAACAGTGAATGACCTACTAAATTAATTCTTTCTATAATCTTTGTATAAACTAGAGAAAATACGTAACACACAAAGAATACATTGCATTTCTGCCTATAGAATGAATTTTCAGACATGTAAAAATTAATTTCAAAGTTTAATTTTTAGAATATTTTTGAAATTATATAGAAATTAACTTTTTCAGCAGGAATTCAAAAAAAATCTTAAACCTCAGAATTATTTCCAAATTTAGAAGTTTTGAAAGATGATTATTTCTAACTTAGAAAAGATTCCTTCTAGAAACTAAAGCTAAGCAGGACTGGGGCTAGAACAGGAAATTGAGGAAAAGTAACACCAGAGAAAAATATATAAAGATAAAATATTATTCACTTACCTGGCAACATCAGGAATATCATCTTAGAATTGGGTATTATTCAAAATTTATCTACAACATTTCTAACCTTGGGCTACTAATAAGAGGTGACTTCACAACTTGTTAATTTCTTTTTGTGCAAAAAATATCATCATAATAATAAACTATTTAATTGTATTATGTACATTACTCATCTAAAATGCACCTAATACTGAAAAAATTTGGAAGCATCAATTTAATAAACATATTAGCAAATAGTGAGTATATTTCAATATAGTGATTAGAATCCTGAGAAATGACATGTCGAAACAAATATGAAATTCAGATCCCAAAAGTAACATTACTATTGAGGTCCTAACTTTCTTTTACTATCTGTAATTTAAAACTTTACCACTTTTTAATGAATTACTGTAACAGAACATACAACTTTAAAGAAATCTCCAAGTTATACATTGTAAATATCACAAAGAAAATTATCAATGACATGTAGAAAACAGCATGAACAAAAAGCTTCTCCAAAAGAAGGCATTTCAGGAAAAATGTCAATTTTAGATAAATATGGAATACATATACATGAGAAAAATTGTCCTTGAAAATGATCTAAAAATAATGTCATATGCTGTCATTAAAAATGTTAAGGTCAGGCCAGGAGTGGTGGCTCATGCCTGTAATCTCAGTACTTTCAGAGGCCAATTCAGGTGGGTCACCTGAGGTCAGGAGTTTGGAACCAGCCTTGACAACATGGCAAAACCTGTCTCTACTAAAAATACAAAAATCAGCTGGGAGTGGGGGTGGATGCCTGTAATCCCAGCTACTCAGGAGGCTGAGGCAGGAGACTCACTTGAACTTGGGAGGCAGAGGTTGCAGTGAGCCAAGATCCGGTATTGCACTTCAGCCTGGATGACAAGAGCAAAACTCTGTCTCCAAAAAAAAAAAAAAAAAAAAAAAAAAAAGTTAAGGTCATGAAAGTGTATATTACGTTAGCAGAAAAAATTCAGCAAGATTCATTTTTTTTCTACTTAAAAAAATTATTCCATAAACCAGAAATGTATATTAAGTATAGGAATAAAGGGTGAGAATCTTTTTGGGTTTTTTTTTTTTTTTTTTGAGACAAGATCTGGTTCTATTGCCCAGGCTTCCGCGCAGTGGCACAATCACTGCTCACCTCAACCTCAACCTCAACCTCCACAGGCTCAGGTGATACTTCTACCTCAGCCTCCTGAATAGCTAAAACCACACTTGGCTAATTTTAGTAAAGATGCAGTTTCATCCTGTTGCTTAGGCTGGTCTTGAACTCCTGGGCTCAAGAGATCTGCCCACCGTGGCCTCCCAAAATGCTAGGATTACAGGTGTCAGCCATTGTACCAGGCCCAAAAAGTGAGATTCTTAATGGAAAGAGATGCAAGGCTACCTGACACAAGGTATCTAAGAGTCAAACTCATAGAGGCTAGGAATAGAACACTGGTTGCCAGGAGCTCAGGGGAGGCGGGAAAGAGGAGTTGCCATCCAGTGGGCATGAAGTTTCAGTTACTCAAGATAAGTTTCAGAGATCTGCTGTACAATGGTTGTACCTATATATAAAAAAATACTGTATTATACACTTAAAAATCTATCATGAAGGTAGTTCTCGTGGTAAGTATTCCTACCACAATAAAAAAATGAACATTAAAAAAATTTCATTAGCCACCACAGAAAGCAGGAAACAGAACAGTGGACTCCGCACATACCTGTGAGAACCACACTATGCTCTCCACCACAAGCTACTTGGATCACCTTCTCAGGAATTTCAGGCACCAGCTGGGGTATTCTGTGATTGCTCAGGAGCTCATTGGGAAGACCTAACTTTCCATTTTCAGATTCCCCAAATATATACAGCTCACCATCTGCTATTGAAGGAAAAGTACAGTGATTAATAATGACATACATATGAACAAAAAGCTGGTCGTACCTTCAATAAAAAGTTTTGACAATGATAACTTAATACGTTTGACCTTTCTTGAGATATTTTTACTGTATGATAAGGAAATAAAGCTAGATTTTCCCCTTGATTATTTTAACCCAATAATTTTCATGAAAAATTCATGACTACCACTACTAATAAATCATTTTAGTGCTTTCACAAAACAGTGAAGAATACCTTGTGTTGTTTACTTACTTAAAGCTCCCATAAAAAACATGAATTTTGTCTTGTTCACTATTTTATCCCCAAAATCTAGCAGTGTCTAGAACAAGAGCTTAACATTTGTAGAATAAATAAATGAATAATTGCTTTATATGAAACTGGTTTTAGAAAACTCACTTAAGTGTGCAGTAAATATGTTTAGTAAATCCTTTTTTTTGAGACGGAGTTTCGCTGTTGTTACCCAGACTGGAGTGCAATGGCACAATCTCGGCTCACCGCAACCTCCGCCTCCTAGGTTCAAGCAAATCTCCTGCCTCAGCCTCCCAAGTAGCTGGGACTACAGGCGCGCACCACCATGCCCGGCTAATTTTTGTATTTTTAGTAGAGACGGGGTTTCACCATGTTGACCAGGACGGTCTCGATCTCTTGACCTCATGATCCACCCGCCTAGGCCTTCCAAAGTGCTGGGATTATAGGTGTGAGCCACCGCTCCCGGCCAAGTAAAACTTAAGATAGCAGATTTCACCATTCAGATGGCACTTCCTCCAAAAAGACTCTTATCAAGGAATTCATGCCACATAATCACTGCCCTGTCCATACTAACACTATTAATTTGCTTAATTACATTTATCACACTGTATTATGACTGTGAACTTCTTGAAAGCAAGAACTTTCTTATTCATTTCTATGTAATTAACTGAGTTCTATAAAGTAGAATTTTAAACCCTTCTGTAAGTATATGATTCAATATGGAGAATGACATACAACATGTCACCACTGGTATGAGGAAAGACACAACAGAGCAGATCTGCTTGCTTATTCTTTGCAAGTCTCTGAGAGAACCATGATTGATCCTTGCCCAACCCCTGGGAAGGCGGCCCCTGGAGTGTTCTTTATGTGAGTGATTAATGATTTTGTTATCTACACCAGAGCAATGAATTATGCCAGACTAGGTTTCTTAGGCTAAGGTTTCTAAGGCTGCTTGCACAAATATCAACATTGATGACATGCACCTGGCTTCATTACCAAGGGTCCTGAGTTTCCGCTGCTGTAGCGAGCTGCTAGCAGGAAGTGCCTGCATGACCAGCCCCTCTAAATCCACTGGAAGCACCAGAATGGGCTTCCCTGGGCAGAGACATTCCACACATGTCCCTGTAGTTCACTGCTAAGAAGAAAACATGCCCTCTGTGGTTTCCTAAAAGAAAGTACTAGAAAGCCCATGTTTGACTTTTCTGCACTCAATTGCAGATGCTTATCTTTTTCCCACTTTTTATTTTTGCTTTGTATCCTTTGTTGTAATAAATCTTATCCATAAGTATAACTTGCTATTGAAGATTATGAGTCCTTCTAGAAAATCACAGAACTTAGGGAAGGTGTGGGGCAGCCAATAAACAAGGTATGTACCTCTTAAAATATGGTCAAATACTGTAAACACAACTATATTGATTTTCTGAATTGATCTGCACAGCAAATGAAGTTATATGGACCAGTTTTCTATGAAATATTTAGCAAACACTGGCACAAAACTGGTGCCTAATAAGTTAGCACCCTTCCCCATTTTCCCATGCCTGTTGCCTCCCATAGGAAACTGGTTACTAAGTCCTAATGAGTCTCTCTCCATTTCTGTCTATAGATTCCTGATTCTCCTTATACCTTAACATGAATTTTCACCTGGATCAAGTTTTCCAAATGTCTTTCCTACCTCTAGTCTAACATACCCACACAAGATCAGATATATCTTCCAAAAACAAGGCTCTAAGTATGACACTTCCAAATTAAAACAAAAACACACACATGTATCAAGTATAAACTCTTCAGATTGTTACAAGAAACCTTCCATATTAGGTCCCCAGAATCCTAACCAGTCATATTTCTATCTATTTCACTTAGGTCTATTAATTTTTATAAAATCTGGATTCCTTAAACTATCTACCCGGGTCTGAGAGCTACCTTCCCTAGAATTCTGATCTTAAGCACACTGGCAAGTCTCTATTCTCCAGGCTCTGAAGACTGTTCCACAATCCCTGTCCCCAGGTACTATGACCCCAACTCATTTGCTTATATCCTCTACTATACTACACCTAATTCAGTGAATCATTGGTTCAAATGCTCAGACCCAACTATTAACATATCAAATGAAAAGACACAGAAATCAGGGATATACCTGAAAACTCCATAGATTTTACCTATAATATATGAAAACTGAGTATTTCATATAATTTATAATATGAACTTGAAATGAGAACATGAATTTAAAACATGAATGTGAGCATTTAAACATACTAGTAGGTTAAAAATCTGTAGGAAGTCTTAAACATGACTATCTTAGTAATAAGTTCTGTATTTTTATTAGGAAATAAACAGTTCTGTTTGAAGGTTCCTCAAAAAACTAAAAACAGAGCTACCACATGATCCAGCAATCCCACTGTTGGGCATATATCCAAAAGAAGGGAAACCAGTATATCAAAGATATATCTGTACTCCCATGTTTGTTGCAGCACTGTTCTCAAAAGCCAAGAACTGAAAGCAATCTAAGTGTTCATCAAATGATGAATGGATAAAGAAAATGTGGGGCCGGACATGGTAGCTCACACCTGTAATCCCAGCACTTTGGAAGGCCAAGGTGGGTGGATTACCAGAGGTCAGGAGTACAAGTCCAACCTGACCAACCTGGTGAAACCCCATCTCTACTAAAAGTATAAAAAAAATCACCTGGGCAGATGGCGGGCACCTGTAATACCAGCTGCTCAGGAGGCTGAGACAGGAGAATCGCTTGAACCTGGGATGCCCAGGTTGCAGTGAGCCAAGATCATGCCACTGCACTCCAGCCTGGGCAATAGAGCAAGACTGTCTCAAAAAAAAAAAAAAATGTAGTACTTAATGCACAATGGCGTACTATTCAGCCATTAAAAAGAATGAGATTCAGTCATTTGCAATGACATGGAAGGAACTAGAGGTCATTATGTTACATGAAATCAAACAGGGTGGTTAATGGGTCCAAAAATTAGAAAGAATAATACCTAGTATTAGTACAGCAGGATGGTTACAGTCAAAATAATTTAATTGTAGATTTTTAAATACCTAAAAGAGTATCATTGGATTGTTTGTAAAACAAAGGATAAATGTTTGAGAGGACAGATACCCCATTTTCCATGAGGTGAATATTAGCCATCACATGCCTGTATAAAAACATCATGCTGCTATCAATTCATTGGTAACTTTGGGGGGCACTGAAATGGGTCAGTTACCACTTTCTAACCCTGAATCTGTGGTACATGGAATAAACAGTAAATGTATAAAATGAATACTTAAAGATTTATCTAAGAGGGCCCATAAAACTATTTCTCCTACGTGTTTTTACTGTTAAAAAAATCCCATAATTAGATAGAAAGCCATAATCATACTTCCTCTATCATTACTAGTGTAGATACAGACTATAACAGCTAGAGTCCAACATTTCAAATATTTTAACTAAGATAGAAAAGGTTGCCAGTGGTTCTAGGAAAGGGACAAGTTGGGAATGCTGAGAAAGTCCCACCAAAGGAAACCATATGTCATGCTGAGCTCTCTATATTCACCTAAAAAGTGATCAGGTCAGAGAGAGTTTGAAATTATGAACTCTAATTATACAACTGGAGAAATACTGTGACCTAAAAAAGGCCAAAATCATTTCATTATATGGACAACCATGGCATTATCTCTAAAGAACCAGAGAATATGTTACATCATTTCATTATTAATTTAGTAATAACAGAGAAGTGGGACATAACATGATGAATTCAAAATGTGTCTTACTTGTTACAAAAGCTGAATGGTAATATCCACAAGAGATCCAGGAGACAGGTTTCCCAATGGTCACTTGATGAGGGACACAGGCATTAAGTATATTTGGTAAGCCAATTTGTCCTTCGGAATTGTCACCCCACATAAAAAGTCTTCCATCCTCTATAAAGAAAAATACAAGCGGGAAAAAGAGCTTTAAAAGATAGGCAGGCTCTCAAGCTATTATACTTCCAAAAGACCATTTATTTTTAATTCATAAAAATTATGTATCCTGATAATAAAGTACTACTAAGACATTTATACCAGCTAGCTACTTAACAGTCCAATTTGTATTGTGAAATGCTTCTATAATGATAAAGAACACTAAATAGGCTGATTGTAAATCACTTTAGTCACGGACATATTTTTATTTTGTTAGCAAAGACAGAATGCCCTTTCCTACAATCACCCTTTCCCATTCTAATGTCTAAACAGAAATGTTCTCCTCCTTCTAAGCAGTCTACCTGCAACTGAACTGAAAGACAGCACAGGTCACATTAGACATTTGCAGGTCAAAAAAGCCTGGAAGACCTTGCTCTTGAAAGCACTGTGGAAATGATATTTTAAAAAAGAACAAAATAAATGTATTTCACTATATTTTTTTCCTTATAATTTAAACCTGAAAACACAGAATCTAGTCTCAGAGAATGAGGATATAATAGCATAAACAGCATCTCAAAAATAGGTAACATATAATTTCTAATAAGGATTTTGATGTCAGAAAAAGCTAACCTAGGAAAAATATTTTAGAAAGGAATTATCAAGACTTATTTATTTATATATTTTAATTAATTTAATTTTTTAGTGTTTTAAGTGGTTTAATATTGCAAAACAAGTAACTGAAAATAAGAACTGAAAGAAGGATGTCAAATTGCTAACTTAATGTTTGACAAAATCTAAAGAACTGAGGTTCAGATACAACGCTGACTTTCCTGATAGAGTAACACTGGATGTTACACAGTCTCCTGCTTGAAACAAAGCAGTGAACCAGCAGCTTCAGTGAGATCAAGCTGATCTTGGTTCCAAATTTTAAAGAAATGTCTCATATGGGCTTTTGGTAGAGAGAGCAGAGAGGTACAATGACCATCACAAACCAAATCTTAACATACGCTGCAACAGATTTCTGCGGATGTTTCTGATAGCAACTTCAGTTAAAACTGTGAGTATAACTTTCAGAGCACACAATGAAAATAATATTTAAGAATACCTAAAGGAGTAGAGACACAGCATAGCTTAGGACTTATTTGCCAATTACTTTTTAAATGTATATGTACCTTCTAACTCAAAATAAGCAAAAATTGCAATATGTCAAGATTTAAAGTTATATTTTAAATGTTTTCTGAAAGGACGTAGATAGTCAATTAAAGAAAACCAAAGAGCAATGCTGTCTTCAGTTTACTGAGCTGGCGTATCTTGATCTATAGGAAAGGAATGTGTCCCAGATTGAAAAGGAAGTAAGTCTCACCAGTTAGGGCAGCTGAAGTATTAGATCCAGCAGAGAGCTGTTTAATCTTATGCTGGGATGTAAAAAAGCTAACTCGATGAAAAGTGGTTCTTTCTTCAGTGTCACCAAGCCCCAATTGTCCTTCATCATTTCCCCCAGTTGCATATACATTGCCTCCTTCTGCACATGAAAAAGAAGACATCAATAGACTATAGAGTCCCTCTTTTTACAAGACAGGTCAGTGTAGAGCAGTGATTTCCTCTATTAACAGTAAAGTTGAAAACTATCATTATCCTATTATTTGGTAGACAACTTCATTTCATTGTCAAAATAAAACACAACAAGCAAGGCCACATATTTTTGTGAGATTTTAGAAATCAATCTAGAATGTAACTAACAATTGAAATGAATAGAATGCATGAAACGTATTTCTTGCTAATATAGCACTTCATTAATTCAGAGTAAAAACAAAGAAAGTAACTTCCAAACTAGTTTAAAATGCAAATCTAACTATTTTAAAAGAGATATGTCCATTAATTTTAACTTCTGTACCCAGTAAAGCTAAGATATAATAGTATAAATAAGTAAAATGAGGGAAATCCAAGAATCTAATTAGAAACATGATAACTCTATGTTGTATTTATTTTAACTTTCTAGCTAAATAAGAGGGCACTATAGCACTCTGTTTAGGAGGCAAGACTCCAGAGCCAGACTGCTTGACTGCAAATTCTGGTCTGCCACTTACCAAAACTGTGGGACAGTGGGTAAGCCATAATCTCTGTGTGCCTCATTTTCCTCATTCTTAAAATGGTGATAATAATAGTACCTACTTCATAGAGTTGTTATGAAGATTGAATTAGTTGACATTTATAAAATTCCTAGAACAGCATTTGGCTCATTTAAAGTATGTAAAAATGTTTGTTAGTTACTCTCTTAATTAAATAAAAAGTACATCATGCCTACATTATAAATATTACCAGTAAGCTGTAAATTAATGAAGATTTTTAACACACATATTAAATTAGTTATCTATGTCTTAAATATATACATGAAGTTAAAGCATTGCTAAATTATGGGGCAAAATCAGCGTGAATCAGTAAAAATTTTAAAGTTATTGTTATATTTTATTTCATTGTTTTAGGAAAAGAGGAAACCTAATTGGGGAAACAAGACTAGCTTTCAAATGGAAAATACTACAAGGTCACATGAAATTGGAGTGCACAATTTAACACATATGGAGCAAACCAGAGTTGGTGAGAAGCTGAAGTAATTCGAACAAATAAATGAACACAAAGTTGAACAGCCACAAAATGTTCCATGGAAGAAGTAAGTTAACAGGATCTCAAAAAATAATCTGAAAAGGCTAAGAGAAAGAGAAAAGACACTTCAGAAAGAATAAAGTATGGAGTGGTGAAGAGGAGCTGAGGCAGTGAGAACATCCTGAAGACAGAATAAGCTGGGGGGCAGGGGGAAGGAGGTAGGAAGTACTGCTCAGTGGTCAGGTCCTGGAGGTCTAATTGTTCCAACAGCATTTGCTGAAGATACTACCCTTTCTCTATTTAATTTCCTTGGCATCTCTGCCAAAAATCAAATGGGCATATACATATGGGTCTACTTGTAGACTCTATTGTGTTCCATTAATCTTTGTCTATCTTTCTGCCAATACCACACTGTCTTGATTACAGTAGCTTTACTGTGGGTCTTGAAATCAGGTAATGCCAGTCCCCTAATTGTGTTATTTTTCAAAATTGTTTTGGCTCTTCTATGTCATTTGCTTTTCCGTATAAATTTTAGAAGCACTTTGTTAATTTCTACAAACACACATACATACACAAAAGCTGGTATGGATTTTGATGGGAATTGTGCTCATTCACATCAACAGCCTTGTGGGTGCCTTCTACTCACCCTTAGTAAGGAAGAGAGAAGAGCAAGAACAGGAACAACCAGTCCTTAAGGTGGACACACAGGTTAGGTCACGCTGTCCCATGATATAATCCAAGACAAGAAGCTTTTTCTTCAGCCACTTGACATTTACATGTATATTTGCAAAGGCCAATGTGTACTAGCCACTGACATTTTTAAAAATCTCTAATTTTACTATTGCCAAAGTACAATCTCTATCAATTTTACAAAGCCACATTACTGGAATGAGACCTCAGTTCTCAAAGTCAGGCAGGAAATCATAGAGGTTGAGCACTATACCTGTTGACACCAGGGTGTGGTTCCTTCCACAGGCAGCTAACTTCACTTTTTCAGGTTTTAGAGCTAAAAAAATTTTTAAAATGGGACAATTATTTTGTAGCAATGAAAATGAACAATATTCCAGGACAAATGGTAACCAAGTGATGGAACTGAGATTTAACTGCAGGCTTGTCTGATTCCAAAGTCAATGTTCCTAACTAGTAAACCAGAGGTTTTCAGAACTGGTTATGTGTCATCATAACCAGTGGAGCTCTGAATACAATACAGATATCTTAGCCCCATCCCTAGAGAATCTGAGTCAATGGGTCTAAAGTAGGGGCTGACATCTATATACATGTATTTTAAACTTCACATGTAGGTGGGGTGTGGTGGCTCACACCTGTAATCCCAGCACTTTGGGAGTCCGAAATGGGTGCTTGAGCTCAGGAGTTCTAGACCAGCCTGGGCAACATGGTGAAACCCTGTCTCTACAAAAAATACAAAAATTACCTGAGAGTGGTGGTGCGTGCCTGTAGTTTCAGCTATTCAGGGAGGGGTTGCTGAGGAACTTAGGAGGTCGAGGCTGCAGTAAGCAGAGATCACGCCACTGCATTCCAGCCTGGGTGACAGAGCGAGACCCTGTCTCAAAAAATTAAAAAAAAAAAAAAAAAAACTCTACAGGTAATTAATATGTGCTGAGACCCACTGTATTGTACTATGTTGCCTACTCACCAACCTGATCCATGACCTAACCTGCCATCACCATTATCAAGCTCACCTTCTACCACATATCACAGTCAATGAAAAACTGTAAGACCAATATTCACAAGCATACACCTATGAATGAAAGTTGTTCATTCATTCGTCTACATCTTCAAAAAACATTTAAAGAACATCTCCTAAGTGCTTCACATACGGGCTGCAAAAAGATGACTAAGATAGAATCCCTGGTCTCAAGAATCCCATAGTCTAGACAATCCTGTTACCTTGTGTATTAGATAAGATACTTGAGAATAAGGGTCATGGTCTCTGTGAATATCCCCAAGTGCTTAGACTGTGCTCAATAAATACTTTTTGAACACATGGAATACTTTAAAAGTTCCATAAAAATTCCCAAAAACAGCATCAATATAAGCTACACTGAAATTTTCAGCTGACATCAAAATTTAGCCAGAAGATAAAAAAAATACTGCTCTTACTACATCTCAAGGAATCTCCATCACCCTTTCAAGTTTAGCTGATATTCACAGGTTATACCCAAACAGAGGTTTTGCATATAAGCTCCTGAAAGCTTTGTAAGGGTATTATATATCTAATAATTTCTGGAACGCTGCTGATTTCAAATATTTTGTCCTGTTGTTCTTTTACTCTAGTACTAATCAATCCCTAGTCTCAATGTTCTGTTTACTTCATCTAGTCACTATATAAAGCAGGATAAGTATGTTTAATAGAAATAGCAACTAAATAGAAACATAATGTCCACAACTCTACTAAATGAGACAATCTCAAAATTCTAACATATGATGCTGTTTGTTCTCTGTACACACAATAATAGGAATATTTAAGTAGTTTTACAAACAAGGAAAAAAGGGGGACCGGGGGAATGTTCAAATGCAATACTGTAAAATTATTACTTCCTTTGTGGGCTCTGGGTAAAATCAATCAGATTTTTAGACCCTAACATATGAAAGCAGTTCCAAATATCATATAAAAGATAAGTTAAATGCTAATAACATTCAAGCAAATGTCAGAAAATAAAGAACTAAAGGCTTTATTATGCATGACAATAAACTACACGGTCAACATAAAAATACTTTACAGAGTTTGTTAAGTATTTAAAGTGAAAAGATGAAAAGATCCCAAACCTTTGACGCATGTTGGCTTGCTGACGGCTGACTTTGATCCTAATCCTAACTGACCCCAGTTGTTACTGCCAAACACATAAAGTTTATTATTTCCTGGTGGGAGGGAAAAAGAAATAATCGATTGAGGCATTTTTCACATAATGTAAGATGAGGTCATCACAAAGCAATAAAAAGCTATACTTTAAAAATGTCACTGCTTTTCTGTGTTGAAACAAGTTACCTTGTTCATCTATGTATAACCAGATTCTATTAGGTGGAATAGAGTTTCTAAAATTATGTAATAACCGTTTCTTTGTTTTGTTTTGTTTTTTTGAGAGAGAGTCTCACTCTGTTGCCCAGACTGGAATGCAGTGGCACGATCTTGGCTCACTGCAACCACCACCTCCCGGGTTCCAGCAATTCTCCTGCCTCAGCCTCCCAAGTATCTGCGACTATAGCCACATGCCACCACATCCAGCTAATTTGTGTGTGTGTGTGTGTGTGTGTGTGTGTGTGTGTATATATTTTTTAATTGCATTTTAGGTTCTGGGGTACATGTGAAGAACATGCAGAATTGTTGCATAGGTACACACATGGCAATGTGATTTGCTGCCTTCATCCCCATCGCCTATATCTGGCATTTCTCCCCATGTTATCCTTCCCCAACTCCCTACCCGCTACTGTCCCTCCCCTAGTCCCCCACCACAGACCTCAGTGTGTGATGCTCCCCTCCCTGTGTCCCTGTGTTCTCATTAATCAACACTCGTCTATGAGGGAGAACATGCAGTGCTTGATTCTCTGGTTCCTGTGTCAGTTTGCTGAGAATGATGGTTTCCAGGTTCATCCATGTCCCTACAAAGGACACGAACTCCACAGAATACTATGCAGCCATAATTTTTGTACTTTTTTTTTTAGCAGAGACCAGGTTTCACCATATTGGTCAGGCTGGTCTCAAACTCCTGACCTTGTGATCCGCCTACCTCGGCCTCCCAGAGCGCTGGGATTACAGGCCAGTTTTTTAAGAAAATTGTATTTAAATAGATTAATTCCAAGAAAAGTGCGTATACAGAAAATCATAGTTAAATATAATAAGGAAACTTAAAATTTAAAATACCTCTTGATGACTTATTTTGTGAAGAATTCTCTGGCAAAGTTAAAAACAACACCCTTGATACATTTTCAATATGTTTAAAACACAGCAGCACAGCTGTAACATAATATTTAATTTTTTTTTTTTTTTTGAGACGGAGTTTCGCTGTTGTTACCCAGACTGGAGTGCAATGGCACGATCTCGGCTCACCGCAACCTCCACCTTCTGGGTTCAAGCAATTCTCCTGCCTCAGCCTCCCGAGTAGCTGGGACTACAGGCGCGCACCACCATTCCCAGCTAATTTTTGTATTTTTAGTAGAGATGGGGTTTCACCTTGTTGACCAGGATGGTCTCGATCTCTTGACCTCGTGATCCACCCGCCTTGGCCTCCCAAAGTGCTGGGATTACAGGCGTGAGCCACTGCGCTCGGCTAATATTTAGAATTTTCTAAGTATTACTGTACTCATTCAGGATAGTTATACTAACCTGTAACAACAGCACTATGTTCATCTCCACATGAAAGATGTACAGCAACATCATTTTTAAACCAGAATTTACCAGGAATATTTTCAGCAATTTTACTTTTCCCAAATATAAACACAGCACCCGAATCTGCAAATATAAGATGGTCTGTATTTTATAACTTTTAGTATGTTGCCTATTATTAAAATACCTGTTCAGCAATTTATCCACACAAACCCCTTGTTTCATGACAGCTTTGCCCCAATGCTGGCAAGATTTAAGCCTTCCTTCTTCCACCTTAATTCAGTCTCTCTTATTCCTCAGACTCCATTCTAGTTTGACCTATAAAATCTGCTAAATTGAACACGTATTACTCACATGCATGCATAAAGAAAGAAATACACTATCACAGGAAGGCAGTCTTCTATTACTAATAATAGTTCTGCTGTCACCAAGTAGATGCCTGTTCCCTGGAATGAAATGGTATAATTTGTGCCGTTCTTGTTCTGGTTAACATCTCATGGTCTGGCCTCAAACTGAGAGCTTTTCTCCAAACACAGAAATAGGACAGTATTGAGTTTCCTCATTAGCATCATCAGGATATCCATGGGGAGGGTCTCTATCAGTCAATTTGGATTTTCTTTGATCCAGTTTTTCTAAGAAACCTCCAGTGTTCTCATGCAAGGGAAACAATGTTAGCCCAAATGGTGAACTCTTTCTATTTTTGTTGAGACAGGGTCTCACTCTCTCACCCAGGTTGAAGCGCAGTGGCTAACTGCAGTCCCCACCTACTGGCCCCAAGCAATCCTCCCACCTCAGCCTCCTGAGTAGCTGGGACTTATAGGTATGTGCCACCATGTCCAGCTAAATTTTGTATTTTTTGCACAGGCGGGGTTTTACCATGTTGCCCAGGCTGGTCTCAAACTCCTGGGCTCAAGCAGTATACCTGCCTCAGTCTCCCAAAGTGCTAGGATTACAGTCGTAAGCCATGACACCTGGCCAAAATGGTGAACTCCTAATTTCTCTATTGGTAATCCCAATGAATACCCATAAAATCAGAGACAGCACAGAGAGAAATAAATTACTCCACCACTACCTCTTTCATTTGAACTAAGGGAAAGCAACTAGAAAAAAAAATAGGCTTTAAAGGCAATTAGGTATTCAAAAGTTGTTGTAAGGATTAAATAAGATGACATGTACAAAGAACTTAGCCCAGAGCCTAGCATCCTCAAAGTGTAAGCTCACAGCTGCCTCTGTAAATTCTTCCTCTACCATAAGAGTTGGAAATGATCACTGGCTTCTCTGAACTATGATCTGCAGAATTTAAACACAGCAGCACATCTGTGTAACAGTTTGATTAGAGAGACTGCTAGGTAGCATAATATGTAAGATGAAGTCATCACAAAGCAATAAAAAGCTATACTTTACCAGGTGGGTGGATCATTTGAGGTCAGGAGCTTGAGACCAGCCTGGCCAACATGGTGAAACCCCATTTCTACTAAAAATACAAAAATCAGCCGACCGTGGTGGTGAGCGCCTGTAATCCCAGCTACTCAGGAGGCTGAGGCAGGAGAATCGCATGATCCCAGGAGGTGGAGGTTGCAGTGAACCAAGATCGGGTGTTGCACTCCAGCCTGGGCAACAGAGTGAGACTTTGTCTCAAAAAAAAAAAAAAAAAAAAAAAAAAACCTCACTGCTTTTCTGTATTGAAACACAGAAAGAGTTCACCATTTGGGGTAACAATGCTGTTACCATTACCATCTCTCTAATCAATTGGGGTAACAATGTTACCCCATATGCCTAGCCCAAAGTAGTCCTTCTGTGTTCTACTTTTCACACAGAAAAGGTCCCCCTTACACACATGTATATTCATTAACTGTTGAATGTTACATTTACTGATTCATCATAATGGTGAGTAGGTAGGTAGTCGAATATAACTCTCAACACAGTTAATATAAAAGACAGGTTACCCAAGTCATCAACAAAGGAGCACTTCAGCTTTTCCTGATTTCTGTGGAGAATTCAGAATGTTTAGGGATCCAGAATAAAATTAAAAGATTCGGCTGGGTGCGGTGGCTCACGCCTGGAATCCCAGCACTTTGGGAGGCCGAGGCAGGTGGATCACGAGGTCAAGAGATCGAGACCATCCTGGTCAACAAGGTGAAACCCCGTCTCTACTAAAAATACAAAAAAAAAAAAAAAAAATTAGCTGGGCACGGTGGCGCGTGCCTGTCATCCCAGCTACTCAGGAGGCTGAGGCAGGAGAATTGCCTGAACCCAGGAGGCGGAGGTTGCGGTGAGCCGAGATCGTGCCATTGCACTCAAGCCTGGGTAACAAGAGCGAAACTCCGTCTCAAAAAAAAAAAAAAAAAAAAAAAAATTAAAAGATCCTCTCAATACAGCTACTCAGGAAGTTTCTAATTCTCATCTTACTCATGCACTAAAGTTAGTTATAGAGATGTCTTTTTCTCTTTCCAGAAACAGTACATAAGAAAGGACGGTTTATCTTGATCTGCCAAACAATATCACAAAATGCCATGGCCCTAGGAGACTGAAGAGGAGTACCCCTGGATGTTGAGATTTAACAGTCTTACCTCAAGTCATTACCTGATCTGAGTAGTATTCACAAACTGTTGTGGTACAGCATCATTTTCAAGAGAGACTAAAAAACCCTACCAGTTCCCAATAACCATTTAAACACACACATAAACCAAATAGCAAGTCAGATCCAGCTTCTGCGAAAATCCCAACGAGGACGATCACATATAAACTAATTCGTACCAGAAAAGAAAACATAGCAAATATAAGTAAGTGTTAACAATAAATATTAATATGCAAGAGACTAGCCACTGTGGACAACATTTGAGAACCACTGTGAGGCACCTCAGTTCCAACTAATAATTGAGTTGGGAGACCAGGATCTAGAAGAGAATCTGGGTTTCCCCAGAATAAATTATTTTAACATTTTAACTGTTCTGTCCTTGCTTCCCTGATACCCTCACCCCAAGTCAAGTTTTGGTGGCTCTGCTCTGGCCCTGTGACATCTACTGTCAATTTGCATGGTCATTTTGTTTACTTTCCTGTATGTCGCACTAAATTGTGAACTGCAGGAGAATTGAGAACTTCCAGGAGCGTGGAAGAAAATATACATATTTCAGTAAAGGTATGATTCTGCTCAAACCCAGTGGTTTTTCAAAATGTTGGTCATGACCTATTGGTGGGTAAGAAAAATCAATTCAGAGGTTCACGATCAGCATTTTTAAAGAAATGCATTATCGAAAAGCTGTGTGTGGAATCTAAGTGCTTAAAACAAGGCCTGCTTCACGAGACATCTATTTCTGCTACAAGTATGTATGCGTTATGGGGTCACAATGACAAAAGTATTTCTAACTATGGAGCTCGGGGGAAAAAAAGTCTAAGAAACACTCGCTAAAAGGTCCCTATTCTCCCTCTTTGTCCAGTTCATTTCCAGCATCCCCTTTTACCCCACAACGCTGATCAATCACTCTTTACCACATTCAATACATAACTGGGTGCTCAGGATCTCCAAAGTGCACACGTCTGGAGTCTGCACTTTGGGGAGTTTACAGGGTGGTAAAAAGTGTCCCGGCCTTCAAAAGCAGAAGACAGACAGGCACCCCCTTTCCTGTTGTCCCCCATCCGGCCACTCCTCTGACCTCAGTCATTCGTGGGAGCGCAATCAGAGATCCCGCCCCAGTCGGGCCACCCAGCCTCAGGCCTGTCCCGACCGGGCTGGTCCAGAGGCGGGGCCTGGCCGCCGGCCTGCCCACGGAACCTCCCTCCCGGCCTTCCGCCACCGGCGCGGGGGCGACTCACTGGGCATCAGCTCCCCAGGCTCCCTCATGCCAAAAGTGGTACAGGCAGTCGAGGACTGCTTGGTCCGGGTTAAGGCCGCCACTATGCCCCGACGCGGGCCGCAGAAACGGCCCCGTTGCTCATGGCGAAACTCCGGACTTCCGCGTTCCCGGAAGTCAACAAACAGCCGCTAGGGGCAACGGGGGCGGGGCTTTGGAATGCAAGTCCGGGCAGGCGCCGCGGGGGAGGGGAACGGAAGCCGGGCGGCTAGTAAGGGGCAGGCTCAGGAACACCGGGCGGGGCGGTAGAGACCACGCGCCCTCTGGCGGTCTGGAGCAGAGAGGCGGCCACACCGCTCAGTGATGCCCTGGAGTCCGCGCCTTTGGGCCGTTGGAGGTCCAGGCGCCGAAGGGACCCTGCCCATGAGCGGCAAACGTCACAAATTTCATACTCTGTGACATAAGCAAACATCGACGCACAGTTATGATACTACTTGTAATAATGACCAGCTGGAACATTAAAGCAGCTAGGCACTCTGTTAAACAAATTCCCAGCATCTAAACCAAGGTCTGGCCTATACTGAACGCTCATTACATATTTATTGAATAAATGAGTACAATTACAACCCTGCAAGGTGATTAATGTTACCCCTGTTTAAGGATGTGGAGATTATACAATAAGAGAGCTGGAGTCTAGTGCAGCTAGTCCAGCCTGTAGTCCACAGAAAGTAAAAGCTGAGCTGTATATATATGGTCCACTACTCACAAAACATGCACAAAGGGGTTCACCAATAGCCCAACGTCATTGTTCTAGAATTTGCTCAGTGATGTTATATGATGCAAGATTTCCCGTGCATCAACTTTTGGCTATCATGAAATAAAGAAGCTAAAAGCCGTCTTCCAGGATGAGCAGATTTATGTGCATTTGGTAGTTGTGGACATGGGCTCTAGAATCAGACACAGCTGCATTAAGGAAGTGTTTAACAAGGAGCATTGACCTGGTGTGGGGGGGTGAGAAAGGTTTATCTGAAGAAAGAACATTAAATCTAAGAACTGGAGAAAGAGAAGCCAGGAGGGGGAGAGAGCTGGACAGAGAGTAAATTGTGTGTAAAGGTTCATAAGAGCTTGACTCTTTCCAGGAACACCTAGAGGCGAGGCTGGTTCCTGGCAAGGTGGCAAGGTCTTGGGCCTATTATGGATCTGAGATTTTCTCATAAAGACAATGTGAAACCACTGAGAAGTTTTAAGCAGTAACACAACAGGACAGGATCACGTACGTCTGTCCCCTGAAATCATTCTGCCTTGTCTGGATGCTTTGTAGAGAATAAACTGGAGCAGTGAGAAGGGTTCAGAGGCTATTGCAGAACTTCAGACATGGGGTCAGGCTGGCTCAGAGTACAGTTCATTGGTGCCAGAGAGGAGCAGGCAGATTTTAAAATATTTTACATGGTAGAATCAACAGGAAATGGTTTCTGACTGTTGACTTCTAGATAGTGCTGGACTACCAAATAGCTCTTAGAGCAACTAAGATGGGGCCCTAAATTATTTTGAAAAGAATTTGATATTCATTTTTAGAGCATCATAATTATTACTATGGGAAAATGAGAATTTTTAAAGATTTACTTTATTTATGATATGCAGTCTTTTTTAAATTTCAAAATACAGTAAGGCACATTTTGGTGCTAAGCATCCCAAAAGATATTGATGCAGCCCTACTCCAAGGTTTCCAACATAAGCAAATAGCAGGAGGGGTTCACCATTTACTGAGATGGAGAACACTGAGGAAGGAGCAGGAGACATTGGAGTTAGGTAAATGGGGCAAAGAGAGCATAATGAGTTCATCCTTGAGCATGCAGAGACATCAAATGGGAGGTACCGAGCTGAGCAGGCAGTTGGTGACCAGACACCCCAGAAGAAGGCACATATTTGAGGAATGCTTGGGTCTATATAGGGAAAGTGGGCTTGAGATACTCACAACACTGGAAAGTGACTGTGGAAACTGACTGTAGAATTGAGGCAGGAGAATAGGGTCTGGAGACAGGAACCTAAGGCCAATTCATGCTGACTTCCTAGAACTAAATCAAAAGGAAAACCCCAACTTTCCACACCTAAGTGACAAAAGAACCAGAGGCTACTCCCTTTGCAAACCCCACCCACTTTTTCTGCATGGCAGATGGAAAGTTGAAAGTATCTCTGATTGGTTGCTTTCTGCAACCAATCAGACATTTGCATAGGAGTGTAACTTTGTGACTTCACTTCAGCCTCTGATTAGTTGCTTTCCACAACCAATCAGATGCTTGAATAGGGTGTAACCGTTGTCACTTCAGCCTCTGAATGGTTGCTTTTTGCAAGCAATCAGACTAATTGCAGGACACTACTTCATTTACATAGTAACCAATGGGAAATGTACCAATGGTTACTTGGAATGGCACCAAGTAACCAATAGGAAACCTCTAGAGGGTAATAAAACCCCAGACAATTCTATAAAAGGGCTCCTGAGTCCTTGTGCTCAGGCCCACTCCCACCCTGTGCTTTCATTTTCAATAAAGCTCTGCTTTTGTTGCTTCATTCTTTTCTTGCTTTGTGTGTTTTGTCCAATTATTTGTTTAAAACACCAAGAACCTGGACACCCTCCACCAGTAACAGCATGAGAAGACAAAAGAGGCCAGGATGGGTGGTGAAGAATGCCAGAATTTAATGGCCCAGCAAAAGAAGCTGAAAACAAGGAGGAACAGTGCTTCAACAAGGAGGGTATAATTGGATCACAGAATGTGGAGAAATTCAATAAGGTGAAAACTAAATGCCTACTGAATTTAGCAATGCAGCCATCATTATCGGTGTCGAAAAGAGATGTTTGATGGAGTGATAGAAGAAATGATACTGGAGTGGTTAGAGAGTGGGAGAAGCTGAGGGATAGATGTGAGGGCAAAACTTTTAGAGATGGGGGTAGACACAGAATACAAGGGGCAGGGAGACAGTATTTGGCTGGAGAGGTGAGGCGGATGGTGGACTTTGTCAGGCTTGGATAGACTTGAGAATGCTGAAGGGCTCCACAATAGACAGGGAGAGAATGCAGATCCAGGAGAGTGAGGGATAATGGATAAGGTAAAGTAGTATTGGCACCAGAAGATGTGGCGTTTCCTTCTCATACACTTGAATCAGATGGAATAATAACGTTGGTAATACCATAACAACCAGAAAATATTAAGCACATACTATAATCCAGGCATCGTACTAACTAATGTAATGTATGGTAGCAGAATAATGGCTCCTTAAAAATGCCCATGCTGTCATCTCCAGCATCTGTGAATCTATTTACATGGCAAAACGGACTTTGTAGTTGTGAGATGCCGGGGTGAGAACCTTGAGATGGAGAAGTTATTCTAGATTAACCAGGTAGGCCCAATTAAATCCTATGAAATCTTAAAAGTGAAGAGCCTTTCCTGGCTGTGGTCAGAGAAAGATGTGAAGATGCAGGAGTGGTTAGAGAGATACAACAGTGCGGCTGTGAAGATAAAGGTAAGGGCCATGAGCCGAGGGATGCAGGCAGCCTCTGAAAGCCAGGAAAGGCAGGTAAGTGGGCACTCATAGGAGCACAAACGGTATAGGGGACTGCGCAAATGAGGGATCTAGGTTGCCCATTCCTTATGAGACTCTAAAGCTTGATGATCTGAGGTGGAACAGCTTCATCACAACACCTTCCCCATCCTCCAATGTCCCCCATCCTCTGGTGCATGGAAAAATTGTCTTCCACAAAACTGGTCCCTGGTGCCAAAAAGGTTGGGGACCGCTGCCCTAGGGAACAGGCACCCCAATTTATAAAACAGGCTTGGGATAGCATGGTTTTGACTTTAGGCTTTATCACTTACTACTTTAGTAATCTGGGCAAGCTGCTTACTCTCCCTCTCTGATTCTTCGTCTGGTAAATCAGGATGATACCTCCTAATTTGCGGGATTGTTGTGTGGTTTAAATGATATGATGTGTACAAAACCTGTAGTGCCTGGTTTTCGGCAAGCTCTTTATTTATTACTTACTTTCTCGCAGAGTTTTAATTACTATTATTTGTGTTTCATGGTCTTTGTTTTCAAAGTTTCATTACTTTCTACTGACTCCTATAATTAAGCTGCAGGCAGCCCTGCAGTTAGACGTAGTGCATCTAGATGGAGCCAGATTAATAGCTTTTTCATGCTGCATTACTGCAACTATGGCGCAGCTGTGTCTCTGACAGAAATGAAAATTGAGGATGAGACATCTGGAAGAACCTATGTGCATTTTACTTTGTGCAAAGCACTATAGGAATTGGGAGGGAGGGAGAAAGGGAGGACTCACTGACTGTCAGACACTTAAAAATGAATGGCCCAACTGTTCAGCAATTGTATATCTGTGAACAGAAGCTCCCTTTTACATCAGCTGTTAGTCACTGCCCTTTGTGTTTGGGAATCAGGCTTGAAAATTCTCTGAGTGTATTTTGAACCATTTTTATCTGTGCCTTTCTGTGGGCGACTTCTTCCTAACAGAGTCCCTTGAAAACATTTAGTCTCATTTACCACCATTCACTAAAAATTTCACCTTTGATCCCAAGTCAGAGCGTTTTTTCCTTCTTTAACCCCCTTTTAGAGTGCTAAGTCTGTTGGGTTTGTTTGGCACAAAGTCAACCAGAAAAGGAATGTCCTTGAAGGCATATCAGTCAGGTTTCCAACTAACAGATGACACCCTCTTGTTAGGATAATTTGAGAAGGATTTATTTTTAAAGGAACTAATTTTGAAGGGTGGAAGGGGGTTGGGGAAACCACGAGGCATAGCACAAAGATTCAGGGATAACAGCATTGGAGTTGTTACTATTTCTTGGCCCAAAGAGAGAAAGGAATGGAAAATTTAGGAGAACCTGGAAGGAAAAAGAATTGTGTAGAGCCGTACACCTTTAGAGAAACAGTGAATTTCTATTATGGAGCAAGCCAATCCAAGATGTCCTTATAGAAACGGGAGAATAAATATTCTGACTACTCTACTCCTTCCCTCCATTCTTCTGCTGGGATTTTATTGGCCAAACCCAACCAGAAGCTAGATATGAGAGCTCAATGATGCAGCCTTGCAAATGAGCTTTCAAGTCAGCTTTCACACGTAGATATCTAGTACTTGAGGCTGTCAGCTGGTGCAGAGAATCAGTGGGAAATGAAGCTCAAAAAAAAAAAAAAGAGAGATCAAGAAAGGCTACCTAGCAGGA